GACTGGTGTGGAGAAACTGGAAATAGAACAGGCGGTGGAGAGATCATTAACGAAGGTAGCAGTAAATGAAACATGGTCAGCGAGCGGAAAGAGAATGAAGGGCCGGGCAGGAAAGAAGGACCGTCACCCACAGTCGACAAAGACGGAGTGTGTGCATGCCACGCTGGAGTGTTTCCTCGTCGAGAGTTGTGAAAACGCTGATTGTAAACTGTTAATAAAGAAATTAAAACAAGGGGTTTCACCTTACTCTTCTTCGACACGTCGTCGGAGCTTCTTGTACACATGTAAATGACAATGGAGCCTGCATGCGGTGTGAGGGGACTAGTGGCCACGCGAGGTAACGACAGGGGGTATCAGCTGTGAGTGCGAAGGGGACTGGCAGCTACGGGAATGTTCGAGAAGGGGAGCGTGGTCAGGTGACGGAACAAGACGGTGGAGTCTGCTGGTAGAGCGAGCGTCCAGAGTTAGCGAGAATAATCGAGAAGGGGGGGGGGGGGGGGGGCGCGTGTTGATATTTCAGGGAGATGCGCGGGATATTCGGGGGCTGTTGCAGTGGGGATCTTCGCCTGATGGCAAGCCAACGTGTCTTCAACAAAGTGCCATCTCAAGAGAAGTGTGTCAAGTCGTCACTACACACACACACAGCGCAAACGAGATGGACTGCTGAAGAGATGGGGAGGGGGTGGGGACGAGTTGCTCGTCCCCACATTTGCGGCACACTCCAGAAAGGGGGGGAGGGAGGGCGTATTTGGGGTTAATCGCGTAAATATAGAAATGTGTCGTTAAAACCCGCCACCACCCGACACAGCCAACTAGTAAGCGTTGTCACGTAAACAGAACATGCCAATTCGTCACTAGTACAGCACACCGGTGTGTCGGAGAGCCAAGCCACATTTACAATCTGAGTACGACGTTTCGCCAGTAATTGCAACTCGCTTCATCAGACAGACACGACGAGGGTCGGTGACCAGCACCAAGCCTGGCCGCCTTTATCTCCCCAGTGGCGATGTTTACCACACACCACGCCAGGTACTCATTTGAGGCTGAGTCGGCCCAGGATCTGTTCAGATAATCGTCACTGGTGGTGGTGGCCGTGAGTGGGAATCGAACTCGGGTAGCCGTGACCTCGCTGGCACGACCCTCGTGCCGATTAAAATAATAAATGTTCCAGCACCTTACAACACAGCCGTTGTGTGATTGCAGTTACACGTATTACCAATGAATTCCCAATTGTTCTATTAAACCTGCAGATGTGACATCATCACCGTGCATGTGAAGCCTCCAGCTCATCGAATCTGCCAAATGTCCAACAATGGGCTCGAGGACCGCCGCGTAGGCTTGCGTGATTGCCTCTGCGGACTCACGGCTCTCAGGCGTGTTGTGTGGTCGCACCACGCGTTGTTCAGCACGATGTCTTGACGTTTCGCTCCATGTGTTCGGGAGCTTCCCGATAATGACGGATGAGCTCGTTAGAACCGACGCTTAGCGATCAGTTCGACACCCAAACGTCTCCGCACTTCAATCGAGCATTGGGATGCACTCATCTCTTGTTTGCGACACTGAGCAAGTGGTGGAAACTCCATATTCCCATGGCGGAGGTCGGTATACCCAAAGGCCAGCCACTTAGGTTTCTCATGAAGTGGCCCTTAAAGTGCCCAGCCGATCTGCCTCAGGGTGGCTGCTACAGCTCAGCTGGACACCACATACTCACCTCGGCTCCTTCCCCGTCCTTGTGTTTATATTCTGAACTCATAAGGTCGCACTCATTAGACACAAAGTGCTTGCCGCAAATAAACCACAATACCTTGCTGATCTCGCCAAGGAGCATAAATCACCACGCGAACTCCGATCATCCTCGCAGCAACAGCGGATTTTGGCTGGCCATTGAACAAAGATGGTCACTGCATCGCACGCCTTCAGATGCGCTACTGTGGCCGTCTGGAACGCTCTTCCTTCCAATATTAGGAAGTCATTAGCGCTATGCTCTTTTAAATCTACATCGAAAACGAATTTCTTTAGAACTACTAATGTTTAGTTTGTTATTATCCCCCCACACCTCCGATTAGCACGGTTGGCTACGTATGGTGCAACATAAATGCAACATACACACATACATGACACAAGCACTGACGTAATCAGAGCCTCCACGTAGAGACACAAATGACCCATCCAGTCCCTGCACGCTGTGAGATCGCAAACAGACAAAACACAAGTCATCGACATCCGGTAACGAAACACGATTTGGTGATTTAATATCGAATCTAGTAAAATGATTGCTAATACGATTATTTCACAATAAACACGAATAATACCGTGATTCCACATCGTCGTCATAATTCAACGATTAACATCGATGTGAAAAATAGTCATGCGGATTTATAATGAGCTGATAAAATTATAAATGTTCAAACAATAAAAAGAACAAACCTTCCTAATGTATAACTACAACACGTATTTTACTCGCAGTGTTTAACAATAATTGTCAAGTGGAAGTGCCTCCCTACACTCAAACGAATGTGAATTGGTGCTCAGCACCAATGGCGACCATGAACCCCGTGGTGGAAATTTCACATTCCTATGGCACTGACCAGTATCCTCAGCAGACAAATCACTCCCACAAAGTGGCCACGGTTCCCCATCACCACACTACGGTCATTAAAATAAGTAACAAATTGTAAACCGATGGGGCTGCATGGGAGCTTTAGCAACGCCATTCCAGTGTTCGAGCAGTCGGCGCGGTCGATGATCCGTCAGTCGCCTTCTCGTCACTATTTTATCACTGTTATCTATCAGGTGTCACGCTTGCAAATGAGACTATCCTGGTCTCTCGAGTTCTCGACTGGTGAAGCAACATCGAGTTGAACCACCGTGGTTTCTGTTTCCCGTCAACTTCACTCGTTGATTCATCCACCCATGTTGAGGACTCGGTCTGCCGGAGGGTGTTTCCTCTCATTCGCACTGTGTTCAACTACAATCACTCACCCACCCACCCACTCACCCATCCACTCACTCCGTCCACAAAACCCACCCACCCACTCAATCACCTATCCGCTCACCCACCCACCTACTCACTCATCCACCCAAACAATCACTCACTCAATCACTCGCCCACTCACTTACTCAGCCATCCACCCACTCACTCATCCACTCACCCAACTACTCACTCACCCACTCACTCACCCATTCACCCCACTCACCCACTCACCACACTGCAGGCAACACCACTTCCATTTCTGCTTCTTCCCTGGCACCGCTCCCCTTTGGAGTTCTCTCCCGTCGTCTCGTCTCGCAAGTCACTGCTCTCGTTAAGCCTTCCCTCTCTATTGTTACACCCCGAAGAGCAATGAACTCCGTTTGTGCGCAGGTGCCGGGTGAATTTTGACACCGCAGGACCGCGAGAGGTCGCGCCGGATTTTGTTGTTGGTCCTCTCCTCCAGCTGTGGACTGACCGTGGCCTGAGATGGCACGTGGCATCCTGGGATTTTGTGCTCAGAAATTTACAGCGAGGCTGCTGCTGCTGCTTCTGATGCTGGGGCTGTTTGTTTCCACACGAGAGAGAGAGAGGGGCGTGTGCGCGCAGCAGCGGCAGCGTGTGACTTGAGCGGCGTTAATAAGGGGGTTCTCGTGTCAACCCTCGCAGCGGCGCGTCCAGCCTCAGCCCTCGAGCCCCGCAGCTGACTCCCAGGGGCAGCTTTGAAGTCCTCGGATCAAAGCAGCAGGTGCAGCGCACTAACAACAAGGCACGGAATTGTGTGTAGTAAAAATAATAATCATGATGAACCCATGATTAGGAATGTGCGGTTGAATGTCGATTTGGCGATCTCGGGGCACTGATCAGACGCTCGGACCATGGGGCGAGTCTTTAAAACGGCCTCACGCGAGTTGCCATGGGGGGGTGGGGGTGGCGGGGGGCACGCCCCCCCCCCCCCCCGCGATCCGGCATCGTGCGCGGAACATGGAAAACTCCAAATATACAGCAGCAGGCACTATAGGGTCGGGATCGAACCCGCGACCTCCTGTACACCAGGCGAGGTAGTTAACATCTCCTAGCCACCGTGATGATGAGAGAGAGAGACCCAAACTCCAAATATACAGCAGCAGGCGTCAGGGTCGGGATCGAACCCACGACCTCCTGTACACCAGGCGAGGTAGTTAACATCTCATAGCCACCGTGATGATGATGATGAGAGAGAGAGACGCAAACTCCAAATATACAGCAGGAGGCGTCTGGGCCGGGATCGAACCCACGACCTCCTGTACACCAGGCGAGGTAGTTAACATCTCCTAGCCACCGTGATGATGATGATGAGAGAGAGAGACGCAAACTCCAAATATACAGCAGCAGGCGTCAGGGTCGGGATCGAACCCACGACCTCCTGTACACCAGGCGAGGTAGTTAACATCTCATAGCCACCGTGGCGCCCGTCATTGTCTCGACCGGGTCGAGACAATGACGGGCGCCGCACGCCAGCGCCTAGATTCGAACCCAGGTCCTGAGCGGTGCTGGCCCCCTGCAGACTGCACTCCATTGGTAGTGCCCATTAATGCACAACCCATGCTGCTAGCAAACAATCATAAACCTGCAGATGTGACATCATCAGATAAAGGCGCAGCCCTGCAATGACTTGCTGCTAGCAGGTCGGCCTCCACTGGAGGGAGCTCCAGAACCTCCCCTCTGGAGGGTACTGGCCTCTACCCGCCCACGCTGTCCACGTGTCTCGGAGTTAGGAGTACCCACACTTTACCCCACCGCACACGCCCTGCCGTTGGTCTGACTGGGGCGCCGCGGTGGCGAAATGTTCAATGCTTCGCCTTGTAAACAGGAGGTCGTGGGCTCGAGCCTGACCCTGATGCTTGCTGTATATTTGGAGTTTGCGTGTCTCTCTTCCTGTGGAGATGTTAACTACTTCGCCTGGTATACAGAAGGTTGTGGGTTCGATCCCGACCCTTAAGCCGGTTGTATATTTGGATTTTGCATGTTTTCCCAGTGGTCGTGTAGATTTTTTTTCTCCAGGTCCTCCGGTTTTTCCCTCCACATTTAGAATCAACATCATGCGTAAGAGTCTTTCGCTGCTATATAAATTTCCAGGTAATAAGCCACTTCGTTGGGCTATCATTTGTGGCCAGGTGGCTTCTGAAAAACAGCTACAGTATGTAGCTCAGTGGCCCTTACCTGGTAAAATAAAAACAATTGTTCAGTTTTAGTTTACACTGGTGCACACAATTACATCCAAGTAGAAAATGGAAGCTGTTTATCTTCCGAGAGAGCTTCACCCCAATGTCCACTGCAGGGCTGATCCTGATTTTGGTTATTTGGCCAATTGATCCTCATGGCGGTACCCAAGTTTACCAAATAACACAAAATTAAATATTTTATTTCTGGGACACTATGTTTTCGAGGGGTGTACTTAACTCCGCGACTGGGGTACCAATGAATCCGAAATCAGTGCTACTCCGCAATGTCGATATGCAGCGAGGACGATTGCGCTGAAACCTTGAATGCTTGAATCCACCATAGTGCATCGTGTACAGCTCGTCGATTGCCGCATCACAGTCCATCAACAGACTAAAAATGGCTACATCATGGACATTAAGTGAGAGCCGGGGTACTATGGTACCCTGGGGTACCACCATAAGGTTCAATTACTCTAAAAGAAGTATTTTTAGTATCCGGAGGAAACCAATGAGCATGCAAGAAGACAACACTCGCCAGTCCGAACAGACGGGTTCATGAACCCACTCACTGCAAGTCCATTACTTGGCTACAAATCGTGATCGACTGCTTGTTTTGTGATCGATTACTTGGGGGCCCCTTTAAAAATCGTGGCGGCCAAAACATCCTGTCTTCTGAAGGCAGCAAACCCCTGCAAGCCACGCCCAGCGTGACGCAACAGCCGATGATGTCACCAAGCCCTGCCCATCACCTCCCGTCCAGTGGCACATGTGGAGAATGAGGTGAGATTTTTATTCCAACTATTCCCGTGTTATGGCCGATGAGTCGATTAATTAAACCGACAATTGGGTGAGTGACCAATAATTATCATTATAATCAGGTGAGTGACCGGTAATCGGGTGAGTGACCAATTACTTAAATAACTGGATAGAGCAGCTCTAGTCTCCAGCACCAGTCGACAGAACGCCCAAGTCGAGGCGCAGGCTGCCCCGAGAGCCAGGCCTGAGCCAGGGCTCCGTGGCAACGGAGGTGATGGAGTCGGCGGAGATGGCGGATCCGGGACGGTGACGCCCGGGGATGAAGAGGGGTGACGCCTCGCCTAGTGGGGTCACGAGGATAAAGAGGGGGTCAGATGCAAGATTTAATTGCTCCATCTCCGTGATGCACGAGCTGCGGGCGCCACGGTGGTGAGATGTTAACCACCTTGCCTGGTATACAGGAGGTCGTGGGTTTGATCCCGACCCTGATGCCTGCTGTATATTTGGAGTTTGCGTGTCTCTCTCCCCGTGGTCGCGTGGATTTTTCTCCAGGTTCTCCGTTTTTTTCCCTCCAAAATTAGAATCAGCGTCACGCTGTTAGAGCATTTGCTTGCTATATTTATTTGCACGTGACGATCAGCCGCTATCACGTGCGGTCAGATGCGATCCTCTCGTTGAGGTCAAATGAAAAATAGTTGACTTTTATTTGCGTATATATTTCTCAAGTGATTTGTTTACCTTTCCTAAAACTTCGTACTCCTATCGTGTTTGTCGTTTGTAACGTTCTGACCTCGTGCCCTCGCTGGACATCTGCGAAAATAAAGATTCCCATTCTGGAAAGTGCTACGGAACCCACTCACGCGCTCTTCCCGAGTTCGCCTCCCCATTCATTTCGTAGCGAGCATCGCACGAGTGATGGCTCCCATGGGTGCAGCATGGGGGGGGGGGGGGGGCTCACCAGGCCCGGCCGCCACGTCGTTGTCCCAGCCGTGGAGACGTCGCAGCCGCTCGTGGTTGCGCGCTTGGATCCTCTCCACGTTGAGGCTCGACGAGGTGGAGCCCAGGGAAAAGGAGTCGGGTAGCAGGCGGAGAGCCGACCCTGCCGTGGGGGGCGTGCCAGGCTGGGTACGCACGTTGCGCACACACGTTACACACGCATGTTACGCGCGTTACGCACGCACGTTACATGCGCACGTTACACACGCATGTTACACACGTAAGTTACGCACGTTACACACGCATGTTACGCACGTTACGCACGCACGTTACACACGCATGTTACGCACGTTACGCACGCACGTTACACACGCACGTTACACACGCACGTTACACACGTAAGTTACGCACGTTACACACGCACGTTATTCACGTTATACATGCACGTTACACAAGCACATTACACGTTACACACGCACGTTACACGTTACACATGCACGTTACTCACGTTATATATGCACATTACACGTTACGCACGTTACACGTTATGCACGCACGTTAAGCACTCACGTTACACACGCACGTTACACACGTAAGTTACGCACGTTACACACGCACGTTACACGTTACACATGCACGTTACACACGCACATTACACGTTACACACGCACGTTACACATTACGCACGCTACACACGCAAGTTACGCACGTTATATATGCACGTTATACATGCACGTTACACACGCACATTACACACGCACGTTACACGTTACACACACACGCTACACACGCACGTGACACATTACACACACACGCTACACACGCACGTTACACGGTACGCACGCATGCACACGTTACACACGCACTTTACACACGTGGTACATGAGCAGGGTCCACTACAGGCGGACAACCTGGCCTGCATCGTCGACGCCCTTTCCGCGTTTCGTCACTTCCCCTGGATGTTTCTCATCACATTCGTGTTTTTCTTCCTTCAAAAACCATATCGGCCATCACACAGACGGCGGTAACCATTTTACTGACATTCATCTCATGAAGAGCTACCACGAAGACGCTATCGTAAACATTTGTCATCTCGAGAGAAATAACAAATGTTTACGAGTGGAAAATGGCAGTTTTCACGTGGCCCAGCTTGTTCAGTGCAGGTCAATTAACTGCACTGCAATTTCAGTGCTTCATGATATGTAACTCCTTTGTCAAGGCGCTCTCCTCCTCCCACCCAGCTTAAAATACGCTGCCAAGCTAAGCAGTGTTCATTAGGACGCCGTCTTTCCGACAGCTCTGTTTCTTCACCTGAGGACGGCTGCTTGCGTTGTGGCCGAAACGTCGTGCGAATTTTATTATGTGTTATTTGTATTATTTTATTATTTCCCTTCTACGTGACTTTACCGAAAGAACCAAGAATATGAAACCCTTAATAAGTGCTCACTAACGGCACTCGCTCCAATAGTGTGTCTACATGGGCGATCGTTGGTCATACGACAAGTAGCACTGCGTTACGAACACAGCCACCTAGGGCGGTGACAACTTCGGAAGGCCCTCTTCCAGCAGTCGACAGATCACGGCTGCTACCGATGATGCTGAGTGCTTGTGTGTGTGTGCGTGCGTATGGGGAGCGGTAGTGTAGCGGTTAGCGTGCTGCGCTACGAACCTGGCGACCCGCGTTCGATTCCCGCATTGGGCCAACACCAGCGAGGATATCTGAACTGGTCCTGGGCCTCCCCTAGGTCGACTCAGCCTCAAATGAGTACCTGATGCGATGTGTAAACATCGCCACTGGGGAGACAAAGGCGACCGGGCGTGGTGTTGGCCACCCACCGACCTTGCGTGCTGTGCCGGCCTTCATAGGTGCTCGCTAACAGCACTTGCCCCAACAGTCTGTTAAGGCTTTACTGAGGGATCTTTGTCTTTCTGTCACACATCTCACCGGGGAGCTGCTGGGATCCACAAAGCTCACCCTGCGCGCTCTGGGCACGTCCGCCAGGTCGCCCACCATGAACTCGTCACCGAGTGAGCCTACACGCCCAACACACAGCAAGCCAAGCATCGGCGATTACTACACGAGGGTCCTTGCTTCCTCGTGTACGTGGCCAACCCTCATAATATATGGTTCTCTGTAGGTCTCTGTGGGTGTTTCTATAGGTCTTTGGGGGGGCTCTATGGGTCTGGGTGTATGTGGGTCTCTATGTATGTATGTTGAACTTCTTTTTCACCGTACATAGCCAACCGCGCTAATATGTGGGTCTCTGTAGGTCTCTATGGGTGTCTCTATGGGCATGGGTGTCTGTGGATCTCTGGATGTACGTATGTGTAAGGGATCTGCGAGCCATCCTCACGCACTCGCACCACGCAGACATGAAATCTCTGCACTCAGCATAGCATACACCAATCACACACAGGAATACACTAGACAGGGGCCAAGGGTCAAAGGGCACTGACGTTACATGGACTCAGCGTGCGAGATGGAGATGTGTATTGGGAACGAGGGAGGAGATGGAGGGTTTAAAAGGGGCTGCGAGACGCGTGTTCGGGGTTGGTTTTAGGAACGAGTGTGGCTGTGGGTTGAAGAATATACAAGTGCATAACCAGTCTCTACATTTTAAATTTAGTTTTGAAAGTGCATGGCCCCAGTGGCTTCCTAATATGGGAACGAAGAGCGTTCGAGCCTCAGCGGTCCGCGTAGCGTTTCCCGTGCGGTATAAGGATCTGTGCATCCATCTCACCCAGGTGTCAACCCCCTCCCGCCACCCATCAACCGCTGTACCCATGGGGGCACCAGCCGATGGCTTCCGCTCCAACGCACTCTCCACATGTGCCTATCCTCTGTCTCAGATGCAGTGCCTCAGAGCAAGAAGGGCCTAGGTTCAATTCCCGACTCGGGCACCTTTCCGGGCAGAGTTTCGTATGTTCTCAACCCCTGTTGCACATGGATGTCCTCTGGGTCCCCCCCCCCCCTGTATCTTCCCATAGCTAAAAAAAAACCCGTACAATGAAACTGGTATTGGCCAAACATCCCAGCGAGAGAACCAACGCCAGGCTGCACGATGACGCGGCGCTGTGAAGGAACGTTCTGGGCCCACCACAGTCACTGAACGTTGACGCCACAGAACTACTTCCGAGTCACTTCAATTGCCCCGCTCGCACGCCACCAAATGGCGCTCAGACGTGCTGGGCAAACGGTGGTTTCTACGCACACTAATTGGCGAAATTTACGTGCACGTTTAAGCCCTCGGGACTGAATTTTGTTTTATTTTTTTGTGCAGTCACCGGCCGACTGAGCCGCAACCAATCGACTCGTTGCGCGTGAGAAGCCGGGTTGAATCGCACGTGGCCTGAAGCCGTGATCCGAACCCGGGCTCTCAGCCGTGCTGGATCAGTGTCACGACTCGCCTATTGCGGAGCGCCTCCTGCATTACCCCCAAAGGCACTTCTAGAAATACCTGAGCATGAACCTCCGAGGGAACCTCCGAGGGAGCCTCTGCCGGGGTCATGTAAAAAAACACCACGCGCATTGGGCAAACGTGGAAGCATTTAAGAGTTATACCGAGAGTGCGAATCCATTTGCCGAGTGAAAATAAAACTTTCCAAAGGAATGTTTTTCCTCTTCGCCCTTGCAAATGTTTTCTTGTTTTTCCCCTCGCTCTCTCCCTCCCTCTCTCCCTCCCTCCCCGAGGTGCGCGAAAATTGCCGGTGATGAAATTGGCGGAAGCCTTTGATGTCGCTTCTTAGGCGGCGGCTACTCCTCGCGGTGACGGTACTCACTGAGAAATGGGGCTCGAGGCTCGAGGCCGGGGTGAGAGAACGGTGGCCGCTCCGCCTGCTTGCGCACACACACACAAAGACAAAGGTCCCCCGGATAGCCTTCGCAGACACGTGGGGCAAGTGCTGCTAGCGAGTAGAACCTGTGAGTTGTGGCACGACACACGAGAGGATTTGTCTCTCCGGTAGCGATGTTCACAGATCGCCACCAGGTACTCATCTGAAGCTGAGTCGACCTAGGGGAGGTCCAGGACCGGTTTAGATAATGGTCACTGGTGTTGGCCAGGAGCGGGAATCGAATTCTGGTCACGGGGTTCGTAGCTGCAGCGCGTAAACCGCTCCACTACCGTTCACACACATGCACACGTACACACGCACACGAGCGTGCGTAGCCTGCGGGGACAGGGGGAGTGTAGAACTGAGACAGCTCGACTCATGTTGAACGTTTTCCAAATCGTGCTTCAATCAGTAGCGGTCGCAAATTTCAAGGGGAAGAATACACAGCAAAGTCGGAGCGTTTCCTTGATTAAAGCCATTGGTGGCTCCCAGAGGTGGGAATTTCACATTCCCATGCTGAGGACCGGCCTTCCGGTCAGCCGAGCACTACAAACTTCCCATAAAGCAGCACTCAGGGGCAGCAGTGGAAATGGACCGGAATGCCCCAAAACGCCATGATGGGAGTGAACATTTGAACCCTGTGACTGCGTTCCAAAAAAATTGAGGATTCATCTCTTTTTTTTAATTTGACTCACAGGTAGAGCCCCTAAGACTAACAGAGACCCAAGAGGCACGCATAGAGACCCACAAAGAAAAAAAGACAAAGATCCTGCGTATAGCCTTAACAGACTGTTGGGGCAAGTGCTGTAAGCGAGCACCTGTGATGGATAAAACATCACACGAGGTGGTGCGTGACCAGCACCACGCCCAGCTTGCCTTTGTCTCCCGAGTGGCGATGTTTACACACCGCACCAGGTACTCATTTGAGGCTGAGTCGCCATAGGGGAGGCCCAGAACCGGTTCAGATGATCGTCTCTGGTGTTGGCTGTGAGCGAGAATCGAACTCGGGTCGCCGTGACCTCACTGGCACGAGCCCATTCACGCAGAGACTGACAGATGCCCAAAGACACCCACAGACACGCACAGAGACCCACACAGATCTAGTGGGGGGTGGGGGAATCATTGATGAGTTGCCCCCCCCCCCCCCCCCCAGTCATTTCTTCCCATTTCCAGCCCTGCTCAGGGGTTAATCTCTCACTGCATATTTCCTGCATTGCTCGTAGACTAGAGGAGTAGGTGGCACGTTGCTTGTATTGGTAGCCACAGCCCACAGAGCGAGGGGTATACTGGATGTGGTGTGCCAGGTGTTTCCAGGTCGTGGACTCGGCTGCCAGCATTGTATCCCAGCTGCGCTAAGAAAATGCCATCGATTTTGTTCTTACAATTCACCTGAACCGGGATTTTAACTCATGACTTCATGATCGTCGGCCCCTACTGACCTACTATGTCCTGATTGCAAAGTCCCATGCACATTTAAATATCGGGATCAACTATCAATGAGAGCTCGCTGACATTTATCATCCCAAGCACAGGGGGGTGATTCATCCACAAGGCAAAGCGTTAATCCTGCATGGGGCGGCACTCATCGCCATTGAAAGCTCTAGGCCAATGGTGCAAATTCTACAATCCCATGGGAAGGACGCAGTCTCTCCTCCAGACGAAAGAGCGGCGTTTCAACAAAGCGCCTTGCCGCTTTAATAGCCCCAGGAGCGATGATTCTGAACCCCGGGCAGCATTTGAACTTGTAACCTCCCGGATCGCACACAGAGTGAATGCCGCGCCGCCAGAGGAGGGTGGGGTGCTGAGCTCCTGGAGAGGACCGCGTGGACCGTGCGGCAGCAGTGGATGTTTACAGAGCCGGGTGAGCGGTGCCCTGCGTGCGAGTTGGGTGGAGGTTTGCGCTTAGACAGGCGCCCGTGCGGTCCCTACCGCGTTCACGGTAAAAGGGGCAGCAGCTGCTGGGAACAAGTCTCCCGTGCCTGGGGAATCCACAGACACACACGGGCATACAGAGACAAACACACAGACACATGTAGAGACACGGACACAGAGACACACACATGGATACACGGACACATAAATAGAGACACAGAGACACACAAACACAAAGAGACACAAACAGACATAGAAACACAAAAAGATACACACAGACGAAGACAAAAATCTCCCATATAGCCTTAACAGACTGTTAGGGCAAGTGCTGTTAGCGAGCACCTATTAAGGCCGGCACGGCACACGAGGGGGTGGGTGGCCAGCACCACGCCCGACCGCCTTTGTCTCACGAGTGACAATGTCTGCACACCACACCAAGTACTCATTTTTTAGGTTGACTCGACCTAGGGGAGGCCCAGAACGGATTCAGATAATCGTCACTGGTGTTGTTGGCCGTGAGCGGGAATTTAATTCGGGACGCCGGGTTCATAGCGCAGCGCGCTAATCACGGTTCCCCAACTGCGCGCACACACACACATGCTCTACACACATATAACCAAACACAGTTGCACGCACACACGCGGGTGGGGGGGGCGCGTGCGTGCACACCGTGCAGCCGCGCGTGTAGCGCGTGCAGCTTGCGCTGCTGCTCGCCCAGCAGCGTCGTCTGCTGCAGCTCCAGCGCCGCGGCGTCCGTGGCCGGCTCGGGGAAGAGGCGGCGCAGGGCGGCACGGGACGGCGAGTCCACTGGGAGCCACACACGCAGACAAACATCCCCCGTGTGGCCTTCACAGACTGTCGGGGCAAGTGGGTGTCAGTGGGCCGGCGCGTATGCTGTGCCGGCACGGCGACACGAGGGAGGATTGGTGGCCACCGGCACCCACGCCCGGCCGCCTTTGTCTCCCTCGTGGCGATGTTTACAGACCGCACCACATACTTATTTGAGGCTGAGTCGATCTAGGGCAGGTTCAGGACGGGTTCAGATATTCCTCGCTGGTGTTGGCCGTGAGCGGGAAGCAAACTCGGTCCGTCGGGTTCATGGCGCAGCTCGCTACTGCTCAACTACCGCTCCCCACACACCATGACAACAATCCTTCATATATGTATTTTGTATGGATGTTGAACTTCTTTCGCACTGTACGTAGCCAACCGTGATGTTAGCGAATCCCTGTCATCGGTGAAGGATAACACAGCGCCTTTGTCTCCCCAGTGCTAAAACAGGTGCATCGGTTTGTCCTCAGCATGGTGTTACGTTGTCAAAGCATCTCACTTTGCCTGAACCCCCAAACGTAACCACACGCGGCACGTGCGGTGGCGCGCACGGTCGCACGTGCGCGGTGGTGCGTGCTTACATAGGATGAGTATGGATCGGCATACCTCGTGCCTTATTCCTGACGACGCCTACGCCGAGGCAAGCCGAGCGGCGTTCCGGTAAACGTCGAGGGAGTGGCCAACCTTTGACCTTGGCCCTCAGCCGCTCAAACGTCGTTGCCTTGGGGTTAGGGTTACTACCGGCGTCTGGCACTCGTTTACGCCCCGGGGCGCCCCAACGCAGCCCACTGTGAATGTCCCTCGCGAGCGCAAAGCGGCGCGTCCACGCCCTCACCGCCTCCACGTCCTCACCGCGGTACTTGAGGTCGTGAAAGTCTCGCAGGGTCTGGAAGTTGAGCTCCTCCACGGGTGTGGGCGGCATGAGGACGCGCACGGCCGAGCGGGGCCTCTCCTTCTCACGGCGCCTGCACCGGCGCGAGCGACACCGCGTCGACACGCCGTCAACATGTCAGTGAGACGACGTCCACACGTCAGAGAGACATCAGAGAGACGTCAGAGAGACGCCGTCGACACGTCAGAGAGACGTCAGAGAGACGCCATCGACACGTCATCGACACGCCGTCGACACGTCATAGAGATGTCATCGGCACGCTGTAAACACGTCATCAACACGTCAGAGAGACGTCAGAGAGACGCTATCAACACGTCATCGACACGCCATTGACACGTCATCGACATGCCAAAGAGACGCCGTCGATACACCATCGACACATGATAAAGCCACCATCGACACGCCGTCGACACGCCATCGATATTTTACCACCAGACCCCTCCACACCTGCACCCACAAAGGAGACCACATCACCCATGTTTAACGTTCATTTCCGATGACGTACATGCGTGTACGACATCAGTTTTTATTCTGATGCCATACGTGTACGTGATTGAAAACGGAATCAGAAGAAAAACTAAATAATAATTTTACCGGTGGGTGTTCAGGTCAGAAGACTGAGGCTCCCACAAGACCACGCGGGAGGGCGCGTGGCAAAGTTTGGCGCGAAGCTGTTGTGGAGTGTGGCGGTCGTGTAGCTACGGTCCTCTGCGGTGAGTGCAATGTCTTTAAAAACGTCGCTATGTATCTTTAAATAAAATGAATGCTGAGCCGCTCGCCCGTTCCGAAATTCAGCGGTGAAAGGGACACCACCCACCCTGCAACTTGCAGACATCTCGGAGTGGGTTAATTAAGTCATTTAATGCTACGTTTGACTGTCACGTATTTAGCGGTGTAGGTCTGCCCGGCTCAAACGCCGATGCGGTGAAATCGGGCCGAGTCCGCGGAACCGAAGCTGGCCCGGAGGGTTCGGACTCCTGCCCAACACGGCCGGGGAGCAGAGCTGCCTCCGACGGGCGTCTTCGCCGGGTTGCTGTCATATGACCCTCCCGCGCGGTCGTGCATCACCCCGGTACGAGAGCCCCCCCCCCGCCCCCGGCGGGAGAAACCGTTCTGATCGCCGAACCGTCCCGAGCACGACCTCAGGGGCAGCAGCGTGCCCACGGACGCTGGGGGGTCCGCGCGAGGCATCACCTTCGCGGCGCCGGCGAGGGCCGGTCTTCGGGCGAGGCCCTCCCGGCCGCGCGGAGCTCCCCCTCGAGCTGCTGGCGCTCGCTGCGCAGCTGCTGCCGCAGGTACGAGAGGTCAGAGAGGGCACCCTGCTCGCCATCTGTATGCGCAACATGACGGGGGGGGGGGGGGGGGAGGGGGAAAGCGCGGCGCGGTGAACTAGAAGCTCGGGGGCGCTCCACCGCCCCGGTTGAACCGCGCCGAACGCATCTCGTCAAGAGGCGCGTCCGTCGGGGGCCCCGCATTGGGATGCTCGGTCGACGGCGACGTCTCTGAACGCTCCGATTTACCCTACCACATGCAACACGCTGCGTGGGAAGGATGCGGACAAAACAACTTGCCGTACGGTCCGTGATTATAAAATGAAACGAGCCTTGATTCTCTGCAAATCGAATGACGTTGCTACGTTTGTGTTGAGCGGGGAGTCCGCCTGGCGTCACCGCTTACCCCTCATCAGATGCCTCCGAGGAGAGCCGATGCTCGATGCCGTATCCGGTCGTTCGTACTTGAGAGCTTTCTGTAACGGCACGAGTAAACTTCAAACTCTGACTCGATGATGACGACAGGAGGGGGAGGAGGCTCGCTGAGTTCAGGGCACTGCACAGAGGCCACAGCGGTAAATCGAAACCACCAAGGTCCTGGGTTCCAATCCAGGCTTCAGTGTATCGCTCATCGTCTGTCTGGGCCCGGCCAGCGATGATTGCACACACGAAGAATTTGGTTTGTCACTTAATTTGGTATTTTTTGGCGCTGAGGAGTCACCATCGTTGTTTGGGCATTCCTCATCAGTGATTAGCGCACTGCGCCACGGACCTGACGAACCGAGTTTGATTCCCGCTCACGGCCAACACCAGTGACGATTATCTGAACAAGTCTTGGGCCTTGGGGAGACAGAGGCGGTCAGGCGTGTTGCTGGGCACGTACTACTCGTGTGCCGTGCTGGCCTTCACAGGTGCTGCTCGCTAACAGCACTTGCCCCAACAGTCTGTTCAGGCTATAACGGGGGATCCGTCAATATTCGGGCACTGCGAGAGAGTTTCCACCCGGAGAAAATCACAGAAGGGGTTCCAAGAGTAGCTCCGTGACCATGTTCAAACTCCGTTAACGAACACCGGGCGATGCACTGCTCACTGCGAACTTCGAGGGGCAATTTCCTAAACCCCGTTACACACGACACTGATAGCAAAGTTAGAGTCCATTGGGGAAAGCAGAATTATGTTCATCAGCTGATTTTAGTTTTTTATGAATGCATTGCTAATGATATTCGAACAACGCACTGCTGTGTCAGCATCGGCTCTCCTGGGGAATGCTTTAGCCTCCTGCTGGGCGTTTGGCTCCAGCCACATGGATTAATTAGCTGTGAGCGCATTCATAAGTGCGCGTGTACGTGTCTCTGTGTGTTTAGGTGCATGTGCGTGAATGTTTGCATGTATGCATATACTGTGGGGAGCGGTGGCACAGTGGTTAATGCACTGCGTAATGAACCCCTGCAACCCGAGTTATATTCCCACTCACGGTCAACATCAGCGATCCTCCGCAAGGTCGACTCAGTCTCAAATGAGTACCTGGTTTGGTGTGTAAAGACATCGCCACTGGGGAGACAAAGGCGGCCGAGAGTGGTGCTGGCCACCCACCCCCTCGTGTGGCGTGCCGGCCTTCATAGGTGCTCGCTTACAGCACTTGCCCCAAAATTCGGTTAAGACTATACGGGGGATCTTTGTCTGTATATATGGGACTGTGTCCAGATCTTTTGTCCTTCATGGTTGTTCGCTCGCAGCACTTTCCCTAACAGTCAAAATGCTATATGGGGGATCTTTGCCTTTGTCTCTGTATGCATATATTGTGGGGAGTGGAAGTGCACGCTACAAACCGTGAGCAGCCCTTGCCCCGAATGGTGTGTAAAGCCTATACAGGGGATGTGTGTCTTTGTATGTAGACGTTTGTATGAATGTATAGGGTGTGCGGAAGAGCAGGGGTTAACGCACTCTGCTACGAACACAGTGACCTGGGTTCGATCCTGGCCATGGCCGACAGGCCCACGTGCGGGTGCGTTTGTGTGCGTTCATGCGCGTGTACATGTGTGTGCACGCGTGCGTGCGTGGGTGCCTGTGCGTGTGTGCATGTGTTGCGTGTGTGTGTGCTTATGTGTGTGCGTCTGCGTGCTTGTACATGTGTGTGTGTGTGGGTGCGTGCGCGTGTGTGCGTGGTACGTACAGGGGGAGTGGCGGCCCTCCTCTCCGCGCTGCGCCTCCGCTCCTTCATGAGCGCCGGCACGGGGGGGGAGTCGGTTACTCGCTGGCCACCGCGCGGCTGCACAGACAAACGGCGGCGTGAGGGACGCTCCTGACCCCTCTCTATGATTTGACCCCCTGGACCCCTCCCTGTGGTAGTTTGACCACCCCTCAGGTGCCTTTGGTCACTCGTCGTTTCTCACGGCTGCTGTTGAGCCGTGAGTTAGTCGACCAGACTTGTACCTTAGCACGGACAAAAGAGCCAAATGGTCCAAATATTTGAATACCCATAAACATACTCGCGCTGGCTACACTAACTACAGTAACTCGACACACGGTAACTACCCCAGGCAGTGTGCAAGCCATCTTTGTGTGCCTGGAGCTGAGCGGCGGAAATGCTCAAACAATGCAGAGTGCAACAAGTGGTAGCATCTGCCGGTCCGTCCGATCAGCAAACCAAAAATAAACACATTTTTTATTTTATTTTACCAGGTAAGGACCACTGAGCTTTGTAGCTCTTTTTCAGAATCGACCTGGCCACAGATGATAGCTCAACGAGGTGGCTTGCCATGTGGAAATTTATAGCAGCCAAATACTCCAAAAAGCTAATGTTGACTCTAAATGTGGAGGGAATAAACCAGAGGACCCGGAGAAAAATCCACGCGACCGTGGGAAGAAAGAACACGCATACTCGTCTGGATCGAATCTGCAATCTCCTGCACACCAGGCGAGGTCGTTAGCATCTCGCCATCATGGCGCCCACATCTGGGTCTGTCCCGCGCAACCTCCCACCAGCGCTCAGCATGGCCTCAAGGTGCACCTATCCTGGCGCGAGCGCCGCGGTGGGAGAAGGAGGCGGCGTGCCTGCTCGCGTGCCCGGGCGGACTCCTCCCGCTGCTTCCTCCGCTCGGCGTCGTCGCGCAGCCTCCGCTCCTCGCTCTCCCTCCTCAGCTTCTCCTCCGCCTCCCTGAGCACCTCCTCGTTCTTGGCTCTGTGCTGCTCCGGGGCGGTGGCGGCGCGGTGCGGAGAGGGGGCAAAGGTGAGGCGAGCCGGGGAGTCTCCCATTCTCGCTCCACCAGCCACGCCCACTTTGACGTGGCCACGCCCACTCGGCCGTTAGCACCGCCCCCATGCTTCTCTCTACCGTCAACCCCCAGCCCATCACTGAGGGTAGCTACGCCCCTTTGCCCGCATCGTGAGGGGCAGGGAAATGTTACATCGGAGACTGATGAAGCTACGTGGAGCCACCAAGGCAGTCTTTCTGAAACCGCCGTGAGTGGTTTCAGAAAGACAGAGCGGGAAGTTTCTGTAGCTTTAGGAGAGGGAGGTCTAGGAGTTTCGGTATGTACAGAATGGATGTTCCTCGAACTTCTTTCGCACCGTACAATTCCAAACGTGCTAATCGTTAACAGAAATGTCAATGATAAGATGGAAGATGAACGCAGGGAAATGGAAGCGTCCAAGGAAACTGAGCGATGGGACGTGCAGCAGACGTAAGATAGAGGGAAGGTGGGAAGAGTGATGCTGCAGAGTTAAACTCTGCGCTGTGGGGGTGTGCACAGCGTTCCTGCCACACTACGCCTGTGCATATCTGTGGTGCTGCACCCTGCGTCTGCACTGCTGCTACGCTTGCGCCGCGTATGCTGCTGCTGCTTCGCATGTGTCTGTGCTGCTGCATGTGTACTGCTGCTGCGTGTGCTGCTGCTGTGTGTGTGCGTCTGTGCTGCGGCTGCTGCTGATGCGTGTGTGCCGCCGCCGCTGCGTGTGTGTGTCTGTGTTTGGCTGCTGCTGCGTGTGTGCCGCTTTGTGTGTGCATCTGTGCTGTGGCTGCTGCTGCTGCGTGTGTGCATCTGTGCTGTTGCTGACCTCGAGGCCCTGGCGCTGGCGGCGTGCCTGCTCGTGCTCGTACTCGGCGCGGATGCTCTCGCGTTGCTGCTGCAGGCGCCGCTCCTCGCGCTCCTCGTCCGCTCGCGTGCGAGCTCGCTCCTCGGCCTCGCGCCGTCGCTTCTCCTCGATCTGCACCCCGAGACGCGCAGAGATACGCAGGGACACATAGACATAGAGGAACACAGGCACACAGGGACACGCAGAGACGTGCAGAGACACGCACAGACACACAGGGACACGCAAAGAGACACGCAGGGAGGTATAGACATAGAGGAACACAGAGACGCAGAGACATGCAGAGACACACGCAAACACACAGGGACACACGCAAACACACAGGGACACACGCAGACACACAAGGACACACGCAAACACACAGGGACACACGCAAACACACAGGGACACACGCAAACACACAGGGACACACGCAAACATACAGGGACACACGCAAACACACAGGGACACACACACAGGGGCACACAGAGACAAGTAGAGACACGTCGATACATAGAGACATGCAGAGACACACTGAGATAGTCGTGATAAGTGACCCAGATCAAATTTTGCAGAAGCGCTCTGACATCAGCCGCTCTGCCACCTCTGGGTGAGGAAGAGGCCTCGTACTGGCAATGTGAGATCACCGAGCCGGCACGACTCAGATCCTGGCCTCACATTTGGCCACCGCACGCGATTGGACGGTCTCAGCCCCGGGTCGCTCTTCAACGATCGCACGCAAAAGACAATCGACATGACAAGGAGGGGGTGGCGCCCCTCTCGCGCTCCACGGGGCCACGCGGAGCGCGAGAGCGACGGTCTCGAGGGCGCGTGCCAGGGAGCTCTCTCGCCTGCTGCTTCAGGAAGTCCTTGTAGAGGCCCTGCGCCCGCGCCTGCTGCTCCGTCACGGGCCCCGCGTGCTGCAGGGCACCCCGGTAGGCGTAGCCGAAGCCTGGGTTGGGGGGGAGGGGCAGCACGGGGTCTCAACGACACGCCGAGCGCGCGCGCCCGACGGCGATGACCACGACACACGCCGTTCGCCACTGAGTGGCGGGGACGTCACGGCGGCGCTTGTGCCATGCTAGGTGCACTAGGAGGCCGCGTCAAGTGTTTTAGGCCCGCTGCCACTGGTAGGAGGTCACGGGACAGACCCAGGTGCCATGAAGTGACTGGCAGATGCACCACCTGTGCTCCCGACTGTGACAATTCTCTGCGTTTTAGCCGCGCGGTGCTCCGCTCATTGTTGTGAGCGTCGCTCCTCTGCCCTCCGTTGTTGTTGGAGGGCGACTGCCTCCAACTGCCCAGTAGCAGCGTCCTTCACGAGCCTCCTCCGCAGAGGCCGATCTTGACACCATTCACCGGCAAGTCCACTCAGCTCCGTATCCTTCTGTACCACATCAATCCATCTCTTCTCTAGCTTGTGCGCACGTGCATACACACATGTGCACAAACACAGAGGTCCTTTGTGTGGCCTTAATAGACTGTTGGGGCAAGTGCTGTTAGCGTGCAGCACCTATGAGGGGGTGGGTGGCCAGCACCATGCCCGGCCACCTTTCTCTCCCGGGTGGCAATGTTTGCAAATTCCACCAGATACGCGTTTTAGGCTGAGTCGACCTAGGGGAGGCCCAGGACCAGTTGAAATATACGCCACTGTTATTGGTGGCGAGCAAATAGTGAAATCGGGTCAGTGCAGCGCGCTAACCGCTACCACCCTGGGGCCGTACTACACCATTCCCTACACACACATGCACACACGCTCACATGCACAACAACCGCCATTCAACAACAACCGCCATTCAACAACAACCGCCATTCGCCACTAAGTGGCGGTGACGTCACCACGACGCTTGTGCCAGGCTATGTGCACCTTGAGGCCACGTGAAGTGTCGAACGCCTGCTGGCAGGAAGTCACGGGGCAGACCCAAGTGCCACAGATCGACTGACTGAGACGACTGAGATGACTGGCTGATGCACCACCTGTGCCCCCTACTGTGCCAACTTGCTGTGCTTTAGCCACCTGGCGCTCTGCTCGTTGTTGTGAGCGTCGCTCCTCCGCACTCCGTTGTTGGAGGGCGACTGCCTCCAACTGCCCAGAGGCGTCTTTCACGAGCCTCTTCCACAGAGGCCGATCTTGACACCGCTGGTACCGGTCATCGGCAAGTCCACTCAGCTCCACGTCCTCCTGTACCACATCACTCCATCTCTTCCCTAGCCCGTGCCGCGCCCGTTTAGCCCCCTCGATCCGGCCGAACAAAAGCTGTTTGGACATACGGTGGCTGGGCATGCGGGCTACATGACCCAGCAAATGCAGTCTTGCTTGCCAGAGGAGCTCACCAATGGGACTTTGTCCAGATCTTTCGAGGATTTGTGAGCTCCTCACACAATTCAGCCTGGTTAAACCTATGATGGATCGTAGGCAGGCCAGTCTAAATGTTTCCAATTGGCGAAGATGTTCCATTAGGGGGGTCCACGTTTCGCAAGCGTAGAGAAGGGAGGGAATGACCGTGGCCGAGAAGACTTGAAGTTTTGTGCACGCTCGCATGCACACACGCATGCTCACACGCACGCAGCCCTCCCCCCGATCACCTGGGTACTTGTGGGGGCTGTTGCCGCCCTCCCCCATGTCTGCGCGTGGCGTGGCGAGGTTGAGGTCCAGGGAGAGGACGGCACGGGCGTCTCCCCGCGGCCGGTGGTGTGGGTTCTTGTACGCCTCCTCATTCTGCTTGTGCATCTGCTTGAGGTCGGCTAGCACGCAAACACGGACCGCGCCAGAAACTCATTTAAAGCTGAGTTGACCAAGGGGATGCCCAGGATCAGTTCAAATATTCGCCACTGATTATGGTCGGGACTCACACATATGTACACAGACACAGATATCTACATACATAGACATATGTACACAGACACAGATAGCTACCGCCATTCACCAATACATGGCAGGTGAAGTCACCATAGTGATCGTGCCAGGCTAGGTGCAGCTTGAAGCAATTACATGTGAAGGTCACAGGGAAGACCCAGGTGCTATGGGTTGACTGACTGAGATGACACTGTCCCAAGTTGATGTGGGCACATATATTCATCCATTCATGGTCAGACACACGTGCACACATACAGGGGCAGAGATCCCCCATATAGCCTTCAAAGGCCTTGGGGCAAGTGCCGTAAGCACTAATATCAAACAGCGTGCGTACGTTTGGAGGAGTGAGGGCACTGCGCTACAAACCCGCCGATGGGTTTGTTGTCCTTCCCCCGCACCTTCCGATTGGCGCGGCTACAGCCACGCCCGGTGCGAAAGAAGTTCAGCAGCACACGTACAATCCCCACTCACGGCCCACATCAGCGACGAACATCTGAGTCCAGTCCTGGGCATCCCCTAGGCGTCTGCGCGTGGTGTTTAGCCAGACCACCCCGCCCAACCCCCGTGTGCTGTGGTAGCCTCAACACTCCACGGGTGCTCGCTAACGGCGCCCCGGCAGTCCGTGTGTCCACGAGAGGTTGTCTGTGCGTGACCGGGGGGGGGGGGGGTGGTGCGATCGGTCTCACTGATGAGGTTCCCTTCGGCGTCGCGGAGGGGAGCACCGCCCCCGCCCTTGCCCCAGGGGCTGAACGCGCTCGCCTCCTCCTCGATGCGTGACTCGTAGCGCTCGCGCTCCTCCCGCTGACGCTGACGCCGCACGTCCTGCACGCGCATCTGGGGTTCACGCAGAGACAGAGAGGGCACGGCACTCGACTGAATCTGAGACATCCGCAGAGCAACCCGGAGTAGGTCATGAGCACACTGGCCAGACATTGCTATGCAGATGTGGACGAATGTTCACAATTGCATGTTGCTCCGTGACTCTCCATCACCTACAGTCTGGGTCCTTTATGTCATTACTCATACATACACAAAGACAAAGACCACCCTTGCAGCTTTCACATACTTTGGGGCAAGTGCTGTTCGCGAGCAGCAGCTATGAAGGCCGAGACAGTACGCGAGGGGGTGGGTTTGGCCAGTGCCACGCCCGGCCGCCTTTGTCTCCCAAGTGGTGATGTTTGACTACTCACCGCACCAGGTACTCATTTGAGGCTAAGTCGACCTAGGGCAGACCCAGAACCGGTTCAGATAATTGTCACTGATGTTAGTGGCCGTGAGCGGGAATCAAACTCGGGTTGCCGGGTTCGTAGAGCGGCGCACTGATCACTACACAACCATTCACGGGCGCACACAGATATATGCGTACAAATATACCCCATATAAGCTTAACCGACTGTTGTGGCAAGTGCTGTTAGCGAGCAGCAGCTATGAAGGCCGGCACAGCACTCGAGGGGGTGGTGTGGCCAGCACCGCGCCACCTCCCCAACGCCGATGTTCACACGCCGCACCAGTGACACATTTAAGGCCGCCTCGGACCTCGGAGAGGGCCAGGATAGGTTTGGATATCACTGCCATTGATGCTGACCATGGCTGGTAATTGGGACTGATGTTCACTGGGTTTGCAGTGCACGGCACCAATCACACTGCACCACCGATCCTCCACGTAATCTTTTTTTTTATTGTATCTCGCGTCATTCATGCCACTGCGTCACACCGTGCTGCACGATCGGTGACCACGACGGCACGTAGGTTATAACGAGCGAGCGTTCACACGTTTGGGAGGTCACCGGAGCAGCTGGAGAAAATCCACGAGGGTGAGGGGGGGGAGGGCGACGCTCTATCCCCGTAGAGATGGGACGGTACTCGTCAGCACTTTGCCGTGCCGCCATCTCCAGGAGAGCCAGGGCACGGCACCTCTCCGCCCTACAGGAACATTTCTACGATCCCCAACCCTCGCTGCCTCCACAATGCGGGATTCGCAGGCCACAATGCAGCGCAGCCGGCACCGCGCGGCCTCGAGCCACGTTCATTCGGCGGACGGCCTCGTGCTGCGCTACGATTGGACACTCATTTCTTTAGAACTGCTTCCTGTGTTTGGTTTGTTGTCCTTCCCCCACACCGTCGATTAATGCGGTTGACTAAGTATGGTGCAAAATAAGTTCAACATAAACACACATACGTAGTTAGTAATCGTATTCATGAGCTGGAATATGACCTTGTGGAACTTGCGAAGGTAGTTCTCCATTAAAGGTTTTTTTTGGGGGTTAGATCGCGTAAATATAAATGTGTCGTTAAACCCGCCACCACCCGACATAGCCAATGAGCAAGATTTGTCATGTAAACAGAACGTGCCAATTCTTTACTGGCACAGCACACCGGTGTGTTGGAGAGCACACCCACAGCATTTATAATTTCAACGACGCATTTACACAATCTAACCCAATTAAAAACCTCTATCGCGCATAATATTGGTCGCGAAAGGCTCCGTGTTGAAGGTAGTTCTGCTGCTGACCACTGCTGCATGTATGTGATGATTAATTTTCACACGGGAGAGGAAAGAGGGCGACACGGCGCGCGGCCCAGTGGCGGCCGGAGCAGCGCCGTAGCAGCGCGCGAGCGAGCGAGCGTCAACGCGTGCACCGCGCCCGGCACCGCACCTGCTCCTCCAGCTCCTCCTGGTAGCGCTGGTGTTTCTCGCGCTGTTTGCCGCGGTCGGCGGAGCCCGGCACGAAATCGGAGCCCAGTTGGGACGTGGGGCCCACGGCCCTGCGCGCGCCGCTGGTGGGGGGGGGGGGGGGGTCACAACCCAATGCAATGACACAACGCTACAAAGACAAAGATCCCCCAAACAGCCTTAACAGACTGTTGCGGCAAGTGCTCTTAGCGAGTAGCACCTACGAAGGCCGGCACGGCACACGAGCGGGTGGGCGGCCAGCATCACACCGGGCTGCCTTTGTCTACCCAGTGGCGATGTTGACTACACACCACGCCAGGTACTAATTTGAGACTGAGTCGTCCTAGGGGAGGCCTAGGAGCGGTTCAGATGGTCGTCACTGGTGTTGGTGGCCGTGAGCGGAAATCGAACTCGGTTCAGCGGGTTCGTAGCGAAGCGCGCTAACCATTACACAACCGCCTCCTCGCATATCTATGTACCAACACATTTAAAATATATATATATTTGAACATGCACTCCCACCCTTCTGAGAGTGCATGATCTCACTAGCACTGGTTCAACACAAGCAAATTCTGGACCGGTGTCTACATTCAGTGCCTCATCAGGCTCGCCTGAACCAAGACACGGCCTTCAGGCATTGACATTCAGGTGCACCATCACAGCAACCGCTCACGACGTGCCAGCCCGGCCGGAGTCCCCTCACCACAACCACCGTGACCCCCGCGACCCCCAGGCACATCGCGACGTGCGGTGCATCCTGGGAGCCGCTCCGGGTCAGTCCACGGAGCCCGGCGCATGTAGTGGGGAGGGGGGGGGGTTGAGATTTGAAATGCGTTGATGGCGCCACTCCAGCCTGCAGCTGGCAGCCGCAAGTTTAAAATGCGAATCGGCATTTCCCTTCGTTCATTTACAGAATCAGATTTCAACCGCCAGACGGCGGTGCGTAAATGCGCTGGCGGCGAATTCAAATCGCGGGGCCGACTGATTCCCCCCCGGGGTGGGGTCCCTCGCGACTTCATGTCATGGCACACGTTGAATTTAACATGCGCATTCATCCTGCGACCTCACCTGACGGCCGTGACTCTCTGGGGCGCTGGCACCGCCACAGAGGCGCCCGGACCCTGCTGACGATGCCTGTACGGGGCGAGGTCGTCCGCCGAGTGCTGAACCTCGAACGGGCGCCCTCCTGAAGAAAGACGACAGCAGCAGCAGCAGGCGCCGATCGCCGGGGAGCGACGGTGGCGAGGGGTGACATCGCCACCGTGGCGGTGCTGGGTGGTGCCGGGTGGTGCCAGGTGGTGCTGGGTGGTGCCGGGTGGTGCAGGGTGGTGCTGGGTGGTGCCGGGTGGTGCCGGGTAGTGTAGAGTGGTGAAGGGTGGTGCCAGGTGGTGCTGGGTGGTGCCGGGTGGTGCAGGGTGGTGCTGGGTGGTGCCGGGTGGTGCCGGGTGGTGCCGGGTGGTGCTGGGTGGTGCTGGGTGTCAGTTGGTCAGGGGGGTGGCTCCCCTCTCACACAGGTGTGCCTGAGGCTCATCTCCGTGGGAAGGGTTCCCAGCTCACCATCGCCTCTTTTCCACTGCACAAGCGAGCTGCTCCGGGGCCGCGCGGCTCTGGAGGTCGACTTTCCACTACGGAGCGCGAGTCGCTGCAGCTTACGCCGTACGGAGACGCACGAGACGAGGCGCATTTGAGCGACGAAAACGGTTAACCCTGCCCCCTGACGTCGGACGTCTCGTAGCATCGAATTAAACTAAAGCTATTTCTTTGATTTTACCAGGTACCACTGAGCTACGTAGCTCTTTTTCAGAATCGACCTGGCCACAAATGATGGCTCAACGAAGTTACTTATCATCGTGTGGAAATGTAGAGCAGCCGAATACTCTCAACGTGTGATGTTGCTTCGAATTGTGGAGGGAAATCCGGAGGAACCGGAGAAAAATCCACGCGACCACGGGGAGAGAGACACGCAGCAGGCGTCAGGGTCAGTATCAAACCCCCGACCTTCTGCATACCAGGCGAGGCAGTTAACATCTCGTGAGGCCACTGCACCGTGGTTTTAGTTCTGGCTCAGCTCGGCAAACGGCCGGTGGAAATTAACCGGCACGGCGCCGGCTCAGCGGCACGGACGCGGCAGTGGAAAAGAGGCGACGCGTCTTGTCTTTGACCGAGCCTCCCAGCAACACGGTTGGCTCCAAGCGGTGCGGTGCGGTGAGGAGGAGACGCCGAGGGTGCAGGTCTTACGGTGGGTCAGGCTGGGGTCCAGGGGGTCGTGGGCCCCATAGAAGAAGTAGGCCTCGTCGTACGGGGTCCTCGTGCTGTCCATCACGAGTGGGGGCGGTGGCGCCGGATGTGGGGCCGCGGCACTGCAGCACAACCACCGCAACCACCACCGCAACAATCACCACAACAACAACCGCCGCGACCACCACCGCTAGAACAACCACCACAACCACCACAACTACAACCACCACAACAACCATTGCAACCACCGCAACAACCACCGCTAAAGCAACCACCACAACCACCACAACTACCACGGCTACCACAGCCACCACCACTCTACAACAACCACCAGAACAACCACCACCGCTACAACAACCACCACAACCACCACCGCTACAATCACCACAACAACAACTGCCGCAACCACCACCGCTACAACAACCACCACAACCACCACCACTACAACCACCACAACAACCACCGCAACAACCACCGCTACAGCAATCACCACAACAACCACTACAACCACCGCAACTTCCACGGCTACAACAACCACAACAACCACCACAACTACCACGGCTACCACAGCCACCACCGCTCTACAACAACCACCAGAACAACCACCACCGCTACAACAACCACCACTACAGGCAACCACTCAAACGCAAAAGGGTCGCGCCTGCCTCGAGCGAGATTGCAATGGATTATTTGTGTGATGACGCTACCAGCGACGTTCGGGACACAATCGGGAGGAAGAGGTAAAGGCAAACGGAGGAAAAAGTAAAACCGTCGAGTGGATGGAACGGGTGGGCGGCTCACCGGGGAGACATCATGAGAGCGAGCATGTCCCACGACATGAAGGGGTTCGGGCCTCCAGATCCCCTGAACTCATCCCCTGCTCCCCCTCCTGCTCCCCCTCCTGCTCCTCCTCCCGCTCCGGGGGCCTCGTCCGGCCGCTGCCCACGTCCCCCGTCGTGGTGCCAGGCGCGAGGGGTGGCCCGGCCGAGCGGAGGGCCCGACTCAGCGACCACGCGGCCCCCCGGGCGCACGCGGCTCCGGGGTGGCTCGCGAACCACGGCGGAGAACTCCCGAAGACGCCCGGGCTGGTCGAGGGGTGGAAGACGGGGGGGGGGGGGGGTGCAATACAATTTGACAGCGGTGTAGTACAACGCGACGCGAGTGATACGGTGCAGAACGATACAGCGGAGGGCAGCGGTTCTTCTTAAGCTGGGGTGCACGCATCCTGTTGAAGGTGCGTGATGCCCTTTCTTGGGGGTGGGGGGGGGGGTGCGAGACACAGCCAGATTTTTGTTTAGAAGGTAAATAATTAAAAAACACAAACTAAGCACGGGCACGTAAGTGACAGCTTATTTTGTTTCATCAAACCTTCTGTGTTTATTAATATTGCACCTTTTTAACGATTAAGAACCAAATGGGGTGCAAGGCTGCAGCAAAGGGGAAGAACCGCTGGTGTAGAGTCAGGCTACACAGAGCGCGATGGGATATACATCACAGAGCGCGATGTGATACACATCACAGAGCGCGATGTGATACACATCACAGAGCGCGATGGGATACACATCACAGAGCGCGATGGGATATACATCACAGAGCGCGATGTTATATACATCACAGAGCGCGATGGGATATACATCACAGAGCGCGATGGGATATACATCACAGAGCGCGATGTGATATACATTGCAATACAGAGTGCAATACAATGCATTGCAATGCAATGCACAGTAGTCTGGTACAACGCAACCCAACATGATATACAATGCAATACAGAGTGCAATACAATGCATTGCAATGCAATGGACAGCAGTCTGGTGCAGCGCAACGCGATGTGATATGCAATATAATATAGAACAATGCAATGCATTTCATTGCAATACCATGCACAGTAATTTAATGCAACACAACACAATGTCATACACATTGCAATATAGAGCAATACATTGCATTGCAATACGATGCGCAGTAGTCTGGTACAACACATCGCGACGTGATACACATTGCAATATGCAGCAATACAATGCAATGCATTGCAATTAATTGCAATACGATGCACAGTACAGTAGTCTGGTATAACACAACGCCATGTGGTACACATTGCAATATAGAGCAATATATTGCAATGCATTGCAATACGATGCACAGTACAGTAGTAGTCTGGTATAACACAACGCCATGTGGTACACATTGCAATATACAGCAATACAATGCAATGTATTGCAATACGATGCACAGTAGTCTGGTATAACACAACGCCATGTGGTACACATTGCAATATAGAGCAATACAATGCAATGTATTGCAATACGATGCACAGTAGTCTGGTACAACACGAAGTGACAGCACGGCGAGTGCAATACGACACGGCACCTCTTTCTCAGGGTCAACTGCTCCAGACGCGGCCACCTTCAGGTCGAGCTCCTTCTCTCTGCAAACCACGACCGGCGCGCGCGCCACCAGCGAAGAGAGAGGGGAGAGAGCACGCGAGTGGGGGCCGTCAGTGAGTTGTGAGTCGCGAGCGAGTGAGAGAGTCAGGAGGCACGGTAGGGGGCACGGGCGGTGCATCGGCCAGCAGTCGTCTCAGTCAGTCGACCCATGTGGGTCTGCCCCGTGGCCTCCGGCCAGCGGGCGGTTCGACACGTCGCGTGGCCTTAACGTGCACCTAGCCTGTGTTGTCACCAACACCTGTGTTGGTGACAATGATTCTGTAAAGCATTTCTGTTGAGGGTTCCCTGAACCTTATACAAACAGGATTGGGATGTATATTAATGAGAGCAGTGTATTGTATCTTCTGTGGTTATTGTTGTACATTTACAACATGAGTGTGTACATCCACATATCAAGCAAGCAGCATCAGCATGCAAGATCACAGACTGTAGCATGATAAGTACCATCATTGACACCAATTATCAAAATTAATACGTAATACAGTTTTTTTCTTCTTTGGTTCTTTCGGTAAAGTCACGTAGAATGAGAATAAAATAATAAATTGATAAAATAAAATAACACAATAATATTCTCACGACGTTTCGGCCACAACACAAGCGGCCTTCATCAGGTGAAGGGACGAGACTGTCTGGTAGGACAGTTTTTGTTTAGTCATGTAACTTTTGTCTATTTGTGTTGTGTTTCTACCTTGCGATGGGACTTTGTAGGATGAACGTTGAGATGTATAAGGGGCACGGGGTGACCAATAAGGTCTGAATTGGTCTGTAATAAGGTAGGGCACTGATAAAGGGTGGACAGGTATGCAACAGCCTGTTAAGGCTACACAGGGGAATCTGTCTTTTGTTGTTGTTGTTGATGATGCTGATGGCTCACTTCCTCCGGTTGCTCGCCTGCTGTCCCATTTGCTGGAGCAGCTCCTGGCGGTACACCTCCTTGCGGCGCCTCTGGGCGCTCGCTCGCTCCGGCACGCCTGCTCGGGGACACGAACGACGTCGGCATTCGTTCAATCAATCATTCATTCATTCCTTCACCCGCCTGTTATCCGCAATGTCGCTCGTAAGCGATTAACGCGGGCACCTTCAGAGGAGTTTCCATTGCTTCAGGAACGCACGCTCGCACAACCCACGTGTGTCGATGCACTCCTGGATAAAAGCCGTTGGGGTTACTTGACCATACTTCACCAAGCCGCTCAACAGCGGGGTGGTGCAGGCGGGGAGCATAGAAATAGAGTACAACCATTCTTTTTGCTGCACTGCCCTCTGCTGCCCCCAAAAAGGCAGTCCTACAGCAGCAGTTATCCGCCTGTAATAATCCGTTAAGTGTCGCGGTCACCCGCCCACATCCAAACGCTGTCCAAGCGCGAGCCTCTTGTTTAGCTTCCGCGATCAGATGAGGAATGCGGGCGCATGGGACGGGCGCTGTTCCCGTTCGACCGAAAAGCGGGGCCAGCGGCCTCTCCCTGCGCCAGGGGGCGCCCGGGCCGGGGAGGGCCGTGACGAACGGTCGGCATGCGTGCGTGCCCACGATGTTTCAAGCGAGGCTCATTTGGAGACGCAGGGAATGTCTGTAACTTGAATTTATAATTGAACCGCAACTTGATTTTTGACACCGGAGAAATCTGTGGCGAGAACCATCGGTCCCGGTGCCCCCCTAGGCCCCGCTGTCACGGCTACTACCGGGGGGTGACTGGGGGGGGGGGGTGGCGTGACCACGGATTTCTAAATTAAAAACTCCACAGCCGACCAGCATGAGTGGGTCCGGCTGGGTGGCCACCCCCGACAATTGTGTTGTCTCGCGGCTGTCGGTCTCATGTGGAAGCAGGGTCGCAGCTATGGGGGGAGGGTGGTGGGGGGCGCTTCCGCAGATTTCTAAATTCAAAACTCCACAACCAACGAGCGCGAGTGGACCCGGCTGGGTGGCTTCCCCCGACGACTGTATTGTCTCGCGGCTGGCTGTCGATATTATGTGGAAGCAGGGGCGCAACTATTGGGGGTGGTGGGGTGGCGCAACCACGGATCTTTTAATTAAAAACTCCACAACCAACGAGCGCGAGTGGGTCCGGCTGTGTGGCCACCCCCGACGGCTGTGTTGTCTTGCGGCTGACTGTCGGTATCATGTGGAAGCAGTGGCGCAACTACACATAAACAAGTAAAACATTTGTAAAACATATTCAACAAAAATTTATTCATAAAAAATTAGCTGCGGTCTACTGTCATGGGCCAAGCCCGATGATTAAGGCATCTCGCTATCGAATCAACGGAGCAGTATGAAGTTACGCAATCAACCCCCTTTGAGGAAATCCTAGACCGATGGGGCCGGCATGAAAGCACGACAACTTCATTGTGAGTCGCATTGTACCTTTGAATCGTTTATATTAATGCGCCACTGTGAGTCTGTCTTCCTCTAAATCCAATACGCGGTTAACACAAATTTCCGTAGCTATTTCAGTAAAAGTGAGTCGGGAGAAATGAGGGGGACTCGCAGATCTTGCATAGCCCCTCCCCCCGCCAGCCGCGTTGTAATCGGAAGTTACGCCCAGGGCCGGATTAAGGTTCTTGTAAGCCCTGTTTCGTACGCCTTCACTGATAACTCTCTCCAGCTCCTGCTGTTACCACCACCCGCTGCTGCCACTCTGCTTGATTGCGTGAAAATCCCCATTTGAAGATGTTTATTTGCTAATTTTGCAATGAAAAAAAAACTCGAAGAGTTAATCTCTGGTGTTTAATTTCTCTCACCTTATGGAAAAAAACCGATTAAACGACCCTGCCTCTTTGTATACACACTATGCCTATCTTTGCTTATATAAATATATTTTTTCTATAATATATCTTGGTTACATTTTGTTATCATACAAACAAAAACACGTGGTCAATATTTATTTTCGTAGGCCCTTTAGTTTTCGCAGGCCCTAGACGCAGTGCCGACTGTGGCCTATTGGATAATACGGCTGTGGTTGAGCCCCCTGTGTGAAAGATGCTGGATTTGTGGGTCGTAGAGAATCGGCAGATTTGGCCACCCCTGCTATAGAAGAAGGCGTGCTAACACAGAGATGGGCACACGCACACAGAGAGCCATGCGGCGGCGGTGCTTGGTGGTGGTGATGGTGGTGGAGAACAAAGCAGTTCTAAAGAAATTAGTTTTCAATTTTTGTTTAAAAGTGCATAGCAACCCGTGGCTTCCTAATATCGGGAGGAAGAGCGTTCCAGACGGCCGCAGAAGCGCATCTGAAAGTGCGCGCGATGCAGTCACCGTCTTTGTTCGATGGCGAGCCAAAAGGCGCTGCTGCGAGGATGACCGTGAGAGTTCGCGTGATGATGGTTTATGTTCCATGACCGTGAGAGTTCGCGTGATGATGATTTATGCTCCTTGACCGTGAGAGTTCGCGTGATGATGATTTATGCCCCTTGACCGTGAGAGTTCGCGTGATGATGGTGTATGTTCCATGACCGTGAGAGTTCGCGTGATGATGGTTTATGCTCCTTGACCGTAAGAGTTCGCGTGATGATGGTTTATCCTCCTTGACCGTGAGAGTTCGCGTGATGATGGTTTATGCTCCTTGACCGTGAGAGTTCGCGTGATGATGGTGTATGCTCCATGACCGTGAGAGTTCGCGTGATGATGATTTATGCTCCTTGACCGTGAGAGTTCGCGTGATGATGGTTTATGCTCCTTGACCGTGAGAGTTCGCGTGATGATAGTGTATGCTCCTTGACGAAAATCAGCAAGGTATTGTGGTTCATTTGTTGTAAGCACTTTGTGTATAATGAGTGCGACCTCATAATATATTCGTTTGGTAACCGGAATCCAATGCAGCTCGTCGAGCACTGGACGGACACGGTCGGATATTGCAGTACCCGTCACGACACGTGCCAGAGAATTGTGTACACTCGGCAGCTTGGTCATGCGTTTTTTTTCCAGACGTCCCGTAGAGTGTGGGAAAGATACGTACCCAGAGGCAGGCCTGTGTGGTTGGAAGCTATCTCCATGGTCCCTCGCTCCTCGCCACTCCTCGCTGAGAAGATCTGGCCAGACAAAGACAAAGATCCCCCGTATAACATTTATTCGAAACGTCGTGAGAATTTTATTGTTTTATATTTGTATTATTGTATTTTTTCCCTTCTACGTGACTTTACCGAAAGAACCAAGAATATGAATCCCTGCAGTCACGAAAGCTTTAAATCAAAATTTAACAGACTGTTGGGGCAAGTGCTGTTTGCGAGCACCTGTGAAGGTCGGCACGGCACACGAGGGGATGGGTGTCCAGCAGCACGCGCGGTCGCCTTTGTCACCCTAGTGGCGATGTGTACACACTGTGCCAGGTACTCATTAGAGGCTGAGTCGACCTAGTGGAGCCCCAGAACCGATTCAGATAATCGTCATGAGCGGGGAATCGAACTCGAACCGCCTCGTACGTAGCGCAGCATAGCGCTAACCGCTGCACCACCGCTCCCCATGCTGGCTAAACACAGGCAGCGCGCATGTGAGAAATGCCCTCGGGGCTGACGGAAAGCAACGTCCAGGGCGTCTAATGAACTTGGCTCCTCGTCACCATCAGTCGCCCGCGGTTGTCATCTCCCGAGCCCAAAATAACTCCTCTCTCTCTGTGTCGCTCCTCAAACCGCTCGCTCACTGCTCACGTCGCTTCACCGTCGCTGGAGATTCGCGTTGCTCCGCGCGCGCGCGAGAGAGATCCACTAGCGGTGAAGACATCCTGGCAGCCACCGCGTGCGTTCGAGGATTAACGAAAACTTTCATGATTTTTTTTGGTTTGTTATTGAACTGTTCACAAGCCTCTGGATCTCTCTCTCTCTGTCCCTGCCTTTTGTCTTCTTTATTCGGTAATGCACGAGCGAGGTGAACTCACACACTAAAAAAAACCCCAACTATGACATGAGCCTGTCGAGTGGCTATGAAATATGACAATTGTAACAAAATAGAATAAGCGCTTCTAGCCGAGCATTACCACTTAGTTGCCCTGAACCCTGATTTGTGCGCGTGTTGAGCTGCTTTCGCTGAAACACGCATTCGACAAAGCCGCATTTGGCAAGGTTTAACCGCACTGTGTTTGTTTGACTGGCATACGATGGACATCGCTCTCATTCGGCAAAGCGGCTGGGTGAGTGCTGTCCCCTCTCCTGTGTGAACCCGAGGTCACCTTCAGGGATTTCAGCTGTATATGTTGAACTTCTTTCGCACCGTACGTAGCCAACCGTGCTAATCGGAGGTGCGGGGGGCGAATGATAACAACAGCACTAAGCACAAAATGCAGTTATAAAGAAATAAGTTTCCGATCTGGATTATTTAAAAGTGGAGAGCTCCAGGAGCCCCTTTATATCGGAAGCAAGAGCGTTCCAGACGGCCGCAGAAGGGCATCTTAAAGGGCGACTGTGTGTATGAGTGCGTGTAGTCCCGGCTTTCATAGGTGCTAATCGCTGAACAGCACTTGCCCGACCAGGATATACGGATGACCTTTGTCTGTGTGTGTATGTATGTAAGTTGAGCTTCTTTCGCACCGTACGTAGCCAACCGTGCTAATCGGAGGTGCGGGGGGGGGGGGGAAGAACAACACTAAACACAAAAAGCAGTTCTAAAGAAGTGAGTTTTCTACCTAGATTTGAAATTGCACAGCACCAGTGCCTTTTCGAATAACCTGATATATTACAAGCGCAGTCGGTCACGGGCCTGCGCTGCCGTGCCAAGAAAGGGTGCGCCCATTATCTGGTGATCAATTGCAGTCCGAACTGGTCGAGGTGCTCATTGGACGGCACGCTGTAAGCCCGCAATGAAAAGCCACTTCACGTGTCACGCTCACGGTCACCCGCCCGCGTCCTCGCGGGCTCTGAATTGTTCCGGGACACCGCCTGGCTTCAGGTAAAGCGGTCGTGCCCCAGTGGCCACCCCATGAGTTCACGGTGGTGGCGAGCCTCAGGGACCCTCCCAGGTTCCTCTTGAGAACACGCACTCTCGTTGCTATCGATGCTTCACGACCCTGTAAAGTCCCCCACAACACGTGTCACGCCACCCACAACACGTGTCACGCCACCCACAACACGTGTCACGCCTCCCACAACACGTGTCACGCCACCCACAACACGTGTCACGCCACCCACAACACGTGTCACGCCACCCACAACACGTGTCACGCCTCCCACAACACGTGTCACGCCACCCACAACACGTGTCATGCCCCCACAACACGTGTCACGCCACACACAACACGTGTCACGCCCTCCACAACACGTGTCACGCCCTCCACAACTCGTATCAAGTTCCCCCACAACACGTGTCACGCCCTCCACAACACGTGTCACGCCCTCCACAACACGTGTCAAGTTCCCCCACAACACGTGTCACGCCCTCCACAACACGTGTCAAGTTCCCCCACAACACGTATCAAGTTCCCCCACAACACGTGTCACACCCTCCACAACACTTGTCAAGTTCCCCCACAACACGTGTCACGCCCTCCACAACACGTGTCAAGTTCCCTCACAACACGTGTCACGCCCTCCACAACACGTGTCACGCCTTCCACAACAGGTATCAAGTTCCCCCACAACACGTGTCACACCCTCCACAACACGTGTCAAGTTCCCCCACAACACGTGTCACGCCCCCCACAACACGTGACAAGTTCCCCCACAACACGTATCAAGTTCCCCCACAACACGTGTCACGCCCTCCACAACACGTGTAAAGTTCCCCCACAACACGTATCAAGTTCCCCCACAACACGTGTCACGCCCTCCACAACACGTGTCACACCCTCCACAACACGTGTCAAGTTCCCCCACAACACGTGTCACGTCCTCCACAACACGTGTCAAGTTCCCCCACAACACGTGTCACGCCCTCCACAACACGTGTCACGCCCTCCACAACACGTGTCAAGTTCCCCCACAACACGTATCAAGTTCCCCCACAACATGTGTCACGCCCTCCACAACACGTGTCAAGTTCCCCCACAACACGTGTCACGCCCTCCACAACACGTGTCACGCCCTCCACAACACGTGTCACGCCCCCCACAACACGTGTCACGCCCTCCACAACACGTGTCACGTTCCCCCACAACACGTGTCACACCCTCCACAACACGTGTCAAGTTCCCCCACAACACGTGTCACACCCTCCACAACACGTGTCAAGTTCCCCCACAACACGTGTCACACCCTCCACAACACGTGTCAAGTACCCCCACAACACGTGTCACACCCTCCACAACACGTGTCAAGTACCCCCACAACACGTGTCACACCCTCCACAACACGTGTCAAGTTCCCCCACAACACGTGTCACGCCCCCACAACACGTGTCACGCCCTCCACAACACGTGTCACGCCCTCCACAACACGTGTCAAGTTCCCCCACAACACGTGTCACGCCCCCACAACACGTGTCACGCCCTCCACAACACGTGTCAAGTTCCCCCACAACACGTGTCACGCCCTCCACAACACGTGTCAAGTTCCCCCACAACACGTGTCACGCCCTCCACAACACGTGTCAAGTTCCCCCACAACACGTGTCACGCCCCCACAACACGTGTCACGCCCTCCACAACACGTGTCAAGTTCCCCCACAACACGTGTCACACCCTCCACAACACGTGTCAAGTACCCCCACAACACGTGTCACACCCTCCACAACACGTGTCAAGTACCCCCACAACACGTGTCACACCCTCCACAACACGTGTCACGTCCTCCACAACACGTGTCACGCCCTCCACAACACGTGTCAAGTTCCACCACAACACGTGTCACGCCCCCACAACACGTGTCACGCCCTCCACAACACGTGTCACGCCCTCCACAACACGTGTCACGCCCTCCACAACACGTGTCAAGTACCCCCACAACAGGTGTCAAGTCCCCCAGTATTGTGTTGTTTTGGACATGTCGATTGCATCATTGCCAGGCCTTAATTTCTCACTAAATATTGTCCGGGTCGCTGGTAGACTGGCGTCGAAGTTTGCAAGTAACTCGTCGCCATCGCGAGAGCTAGACTGGGCGCGGTTCTGCCGGGTGTCGGAATTTGTTGGGTCGCGGACCCAGCTAAAATCCAGCCTTGACCATTCTCAGCAGTAGTTAATTCGTCTCATTTTCACCCCACCGGTTTTCGCTCGCACTGTCAGCCTCAACAAAATGCAACGCTTGCACCGTTACCCTTGGGAATGGACGTTCACAGACGAATCAGTTGCACAACATCCCTAATGACCCTCAGCTCCCTCCCCAACAGTGAACCCAACGACGCGGCGCTAATCCCTAGTGACGGGGGGACACGCTGAGCATATGGCAGGCAGCGAGCGCAGAAGGGTCACGGTGCCTCGAAGCCTTACGGCACCGTTCACATTGCCCCGCTGCCGGCTGTTGTTACGCGCGGCGATGTTGTCGTTTGTGTGCGCGCGCGCGTGGGGTGGGCTGTGTGCTTAGCGCTGTCGCAAGGCAAGTCCAGGCAGCGTGGCGGTGGTGGCGGTGGAGGCGATACGACCCCCTTGCTCAGGCCACTCGTTGCGGTAAAGTGGCCTTCGCGATTCGTCCACACTGGCCGCCAGAAGTCGTGGAAGACGCGACAGTCACCCGCACTGTGGCCCATCACACGTGACCTGGGGTGCCGCGGTGGCTCGGAGATGTGAATTACCTCGCCTGGTATGAAGGAGGTCGTGGGTTCGATCCCACCCTGGTGCCCGTTGTATAATTTAAGTTTGCGTGTCTCTCTCTCTCTCTCTCGCCGTGGTTGCGTGGATTTTTCTCCGGGTCCTCCGGTTTTTCACTCCACATTTGGACTCAACATCACAACGCGTTTACAGTATTTGGCTGCTCTAAATGTTCACATGATAAGCCACTTCATTGAGCTATCATTTGTGGCCAGGTCGCTTCTGAAACGAGCAAAATTGCTCAGTAGACCTTACCTGGTAAAATAATAGTAAAAGCATTAGTAAAATAGTAGCTACAGTGAAGGAAAAAAGTATTTGATCCCCTGCTGGTTTTGTACGTTTGCCCACTGACAAAGAAATGGTCATCCATGGGAGAGAGGGACTGAGAGAAAGAATAACAACAACAAAATCCAGAAAAATGCATGTCAAAAATGTTATAAATTGATTGGCATTTTAATGAGGGAAATAAGTATTTGACCCCTCTGCAAAACATGACTTAGTACTTGGTGGCAAAACCCCTGTTGGCAATCACAGAGGTCAGACGTTTCTTGTAGTTGGTCACCAGGTTTGCACACATCTCAGGAGAGATTTTGTCCCACTCCTCTTTGCAGATCTTCTCCAAGTCATTGAGGTTTCGAGGCTGACGTTTGGCAACTCGAACCTTCAGCTCCCTCCAGGACCTTAATGTGCTTCTTCTTGAGCCACTCCTTTGTTACCTTGGCCGTGTGTTTTGGGTCATTGTCATGCTGGAATACCCATCCACGACCCATTTTCAATGCCCTGGCTGAGGGAAGGAGGTTCTCACCCAAGATTTGACGGTACATGGCCCCGTCCATCGTCCCTTTGATGCGGTGAAGTTGTCCTGTCCCCTTAGCAGAAAAACACCCCCAAAGCATAATGTTTCCTCCTCCATGTTTGACGGTGGGGATGGTGTTCTTGGGGTCATAGGCAGCATTCCTCCTCCTCCAAACACGGCGAGTTGAGTTGATGCCAAAGAGCTCCATTTTGGTCTCATCTGACCACAACACTTTCACCCAGTTGTCCTCTGAATCATTCAGATGTTAATTGGCAAACTTCAGACGGGCATGTATATGTGCTTTCTTGAGCAGGGGGACCTTGCGGGCGCTGCAGGATTTCAGTCCTTCACGGCGTAGTGTGTTACCAATTGAGAGTTTGGAATCTGATTTATTGATTGCTTCTGTGGACAGGTGCCTTTTATACAGGTAACAAACTGAGATTAGGAGCACTCCCTTTAAGAGTGTGCTCCTAATCTCAGCTCGTTACTTGTATAAAAGACACCTGGGAGCCAGAAATCTTTCTGATTGAGAGGGGGTCAAATACTTATTTCCCTCATTAAAATGCAAATCAATTTATAACATTTTTAACATGCGCTTTTCTGGATTTTGTTGTTGTTATTCTGTCTCTCACTGTTCAAATAAACCTACCATTAAAATTATAGACTGATCATTTCTTTGTCAGTGGGCAAACGTACAAAATCAGCAGGGGATCAAATCCTTTTTCCCTCACTGTAAATCCAACTTGCACCGATGATGATTCAACTGCTGCACCGGGAGAGCGAACCGGCCCATCTCTTGATTCCAAGTCGGGTGTGCCGCTATCCGTTATACCACGACAGCGCCCCCTGCCACTGCCTGACCCTGTGTAAAATCCGAACCCAGCCACAGCAAGGCTCAACGCCGTGGAGGAATGGACTCGCGTTACATTGTAAATGCCTCCCATGGGTAGGACACACTTACCAACCATGAGGTATGCAGCCCATCCATGGGAGAGAGAGACTGAATAATTGACCCCGAGGATTCACAGGCTTCCGTGGTGAGGCCTCCAGCTCACAGAGACAGACTAAAGCAGTGGTTCTCAGGAAGGGGTCCGCACACCACCAGCGGACCCTGACGGTCCTCCAGATGGTCCGCGGTTAGCTGCGATGTGAATTCAGGTTGATCCGCCAATAACGACCTTTTATTTCTGGTATGAATGAATACTTTGCTTGCATTTAATTTTTTAAAAAAGAACGTTATGTTCCGGGAATATGGCTAATTTTGTATGACTGGTGTTTCGAAGTAAGTGAATGTGTTTTGTGGGGCTGTGTGGTTCGCAGGAATGTTTACATCGGCCGAATGCTCCGTGTGGCAAAACAATTTGAGAAACATTTCTGTTAGACAGAACACACTCACAATCCTTAATATTGGGTGTGGTCATGCCCTAGAGCAGGGGTGGGGAACGTCCGGCCCGCGGGCCGTATAAGGCCCTCGAAATCATTTGGTCTGGCCATGCCAAGGCAACCGCAGGCAGGACTCGAATTTCAATAAATCTAGGAGCAAACGTGGAAAAGCAGTTGCGAGTAGCAACATCATCAATACCAGCTAACATCACACGCCTCACTAAAGAAAAGCAGTTCCAGCCATCACATTATGGGTGAGTTAATTAAATGTTTGACTAAATATAACAGGCTCATTTTAAGTTGATAATTTTGTATGGCCCGCGAATGATGTCATAAATATCCAAATGGCCCTTGGCAGAAAAAAAGATTCCCTGCCCCTGGCCTAGAGCCACAGAGCCAGGCAATAACATACAAACACACAATACATATAAAGGAATAGACATTTCCCACAATACAATGAAGGACAACAATGATGCACCAATGATACATAGCAAAGCCTGGAGTGTGTCTCCTCTTCACACAGGAGTGTGCGTACGTACGTTGAACTTCTTTCGCACCGTACGTAGCCAACCGTGCTAATCGGAGGTCCGGTAAGGTGAGGTGGCTCCCATCTAAAGTTGGGCCCGGTGGTGGAAAGTCCACATTCCAATGGCAGGAGCCAGGAAGTCCAGACTGCTGTTGACTTTCCAGATTAAAGACGGTGATTATTTTAACGACTCGTAATGATGATGACGGTAATGATGATGGTGATGATGGGCTGAGTTGATGCCCAACCAGTAATTCACCTTGCGACGTTCCGATTGTGAAGAAATCCACATCACGCTCAAGGGAAACGCATCAAAGCGTGTTGTGCAGCATAGCCAGGAATAAAACCAGGACCTCTGAGATCAGCGCCCAGTGGTAAAAATACATTAAAAAAGTATTTTTTTATGTCACCAGGTAAGACCCACTGAGCTATATAGCTCTTTTTTAGACGCGCCCTGGCTACCACAAATTATAGCCCAAAGTAGTGGATTATCACGTGGCAATTTAGAGCAGCAAAACAATCCAAAGGCATTTTGATTCTACATGTGGTGGATAAAAACCGGAGGACTCGGAGAAAAATCCACGCGGCCACGAGGGAAACATCCAAATTCCAAATACACGGTCGTCAGGGTCGAACCCACGACCTCCTGTAAATCAGGCGAGGTAGTTAACATCTCGCCACCGTGGCGAGATTCAGCACCGCTCTCCACTGCGTGCGTGAGACGACCGGTACTCACTTAAGGCTGAGTCGACCTTAGGGAAGGCTCCTGACAAGGCTTTCGAAGTTTACATTCTCTCCGGCGATGATGTGATGTGCGTGGCGGTCATTAGCTGAAGCCGCGTCTGGCAGGCTCGAGGCGTGCGGCACGCGCGATCCACCTCCCCCCGCCGCTACCGCCCTCAGCCACTGTGGTTCCACTCACGCACACACACACAGCCGGGTTGCCAGGAGACACCACATATTGCAGGTAAAGGAGCCTTTAGCGGCCGCTATCGTGTTTGCTCAACATTCGAGTCAGGCCATGCCAAACAGTGCAAGCGCACACACACAAAGACAACGATAACCCCGTAAAGCCTCCAACAGACTGTCGGGCAAGTGTTGTAAGCGAGCGCTTGTGAAGGCCGGCACGGCACACGAGAGGGTGGGTGGCCAGCGCCACGCCCGACCGCCTTTGTCTCCCCAGTGGCGATGTTGTGGGGGGACTTGGCACGTGTTGTGGGGGGACTTGACACGCGTTGTGGGGGAACTTGACACGTGTTGTGGAGGGCGTGACACGTGTTGTGGGGGAACTTAATACTCGGTACTCAATTGAGGCTGATTCGGCCTATGCATAGACGCACACACACACACGTATGCACGCACGTGTGCACACGTACAAATACATATAAACATGCGTATACACACACCTACTCTCTCTATCAACGTATACACACACCATCATCCGGGTAAATTAAAGACATTAAGAAAAATCCAAATCCAGGGCGCGCCTATACTTAGACTTTCTTGGCTTAAAGAGACTGGGCCCTGTCATGAGGATGTGGAATGTCCACCACTGGCTCAGGGCCACCAATGGGCAATTGCACCACCTGACACTCGTTGAAGAAGGGAGACACTTTCACTGGGGCTCGGCCACGATGATTGACTTTCATAGCGAGGTCATGGGTTTTAAATTCGACTGCGCAGCCTTTAATTTTGCAGTTTGGCAGTGAACGCCAGACATTTACCCAGAATCAAACGAGAGACGGATATTGATGATGGACATAGTGTGCATGTGAATGAATGAGCGAGATGTGTACACGTTTGAATATAAGTACAGTATGTGTCTACATGTGCCTGTGCATATATGTAATGGGGAGCGGTGTCGCAGTGGTTAGCGCTCTGCACTACGAACCCGGCGACGCGAGTTCAATTCCCGCTCAGGGCCAACACCAGTGACGATAATGATCGGAACCGGCACTGGGCGTCCCCTAGGTCGACTCAGCCTCAAATGAGTACCTGGTGCGATGTGTAAACATCACTTTTGGGGAGACAAAGGCGGTCGGGCGTGTTGCTGGCCACCCACCCCGTCGGGGCCTTCATAAGTGCTCGCTAACAGCACTCGCCCTAAAAAGTATGTGAAGGCTATGCGTGAGATCTTTGTTTTTGTATGTCTCTGTGTGCTTTGTTCAAAGGTGCTGGAGTGTTGATGTCACGCGCAGCCCTGACAACGGAGGGGAAACACAGCAGCTCAGCGATTTTAATCATCAAGGGAGGGCCAATCTTCATCACCGCATTGCCAGGGTTCACGTTCAATCACACGCGCCCTGTGTGTTACAACATCCCAACAGCTACAAGGAACACACACAGCTTGCCCAGAAATGACAAGGCCCTCATCCATCAGTGGATTGACATCGGGCCGTAAAAAAAAAGTATTTTTTTTGTCCATAATAAAAACTTTGCTAAGTTTGGTTATACTGTACAGTATGCTGTATGCTGTAGGAGTGTTTGCTTGCTTTGGAAGGTATTTGTAATTTATTTTAATATACTTGATTTGCCTAGCGTACGATTGATTCGGAATACACAATGCCAGAAGCCAACCTTACTGCCCTGATTCAGAGATACCTCGCATGTAACGGATGTATTTCACACACTGTCAAACCATACACGCACAGCCAGTTTTTAACACAAACAAGTTCAATCTTGATTTGAAGCTTTCGTGACTGCAATATAACTGCTGCCTCAACCACAATTCAGTTTGTAGACACCAGGGTATCGCATGTCAGAAATCACATCCTTTACAGATGGGATTAAATCTCTCACATTAACATAGCCACTTCCGTGCCCTCGTTTAGGAGGCCGCTCTCCTATCTTACAGTTACGTGCTAATTTCTCACATTAACAGCACTAGCCCCGGCCACTTTTTTATGACCCTTGAGCTACACCCATTTCAAGCCTTTTTAAAATAGTCTGCCTCAGCAGCAGGCCATGCTTTCCCACCTGATGACGGACGCTTGTGTTGCACCCGAAACGTCGTGATTTATTTTATTTTATACCTACGTGACTTTACCGAAAGAACCAAACAGTATACAAACAAGTTCCTTCTTAATTAACAGTCAGAGCGCCAGTCATGAATATGCAACTGACACTCGGGCAAAAATAATACTCGACACTCGTTATACACATGAAAACAGCTTGCACTCTGCTTTTTCCAATTGTTGACGTTACATTGTCTATTTTTAAAGATACAAATATATACCTCCACGTTTCGAGTGGCTGCGTGGCAAGTGTTGGTGATGGCAATGAATCTGAACGCGGCTCGGACCACGATGCCTTTCTAATAACTTTCTTTGAATTAAGGTGGCGTCCTGCATTGGGATGTTTGCTTGCAATTCCCCCTTTGGGTGTAGTGGTGTTGCTTGCGTAAGGAACACCAGGAGAAAACCCCACCACGTATCAAGCGATAACTCGAAAACTATTCGGCGCAGACAGGCTAGGAGCCCGCTTGCCTGTACCCACCATCTCCTGGCCACCTGGCAATCCAATGGGGGTTGTAGTCTCGCAGAACCCTCATCATCATGGCCTTTATTTACCCAGGAAAAGCCTCCCTAGTTATCTTTTCCAGGAGAGTTCTGCACTGCGCGGTTTGGCCAGCAGCATTCCTAAAAGGATATTTGTCGGTGTGAGGAAAGCAGAGTCCCTGTTGAGCGTATTGGGAGGGGGGAGGGGAGGGGGGATGACGCTCAAATCACGCACAGGTAGATTTAAGAATCCACTGCTGTACTGCCATTTCTTGGTCATTCACAGCCCCACGTGGTAATCGCAGGCAGCCACCCATCTGAGTACGAGCCAGGCAACAAAATGAATTCGCTTCCGAAATCTGTCAACATCGGGCATGTTCGGGGCGACAGCATCGTTGGCAACACACAGTGATCCCGGCGTGATCCACCAACCCCCGCCACAACTAGCATCTAGCTTGCTTTACCCGTCGCAGCGTTGCACCCGCAGTGTTTCAGTGCCTGCGGCTTGCTCTGAAACGACCGGGGATCAACTCGGAATTTCCCTTACCCCGCAAATGCCAAACGCCTGCGCCACCGCACCGCCACGGCGCGCAGCCTCATGCATCATGCACGAAGTCTCCCTGCAAGTTTCATGAGCCTCACGAGCCTGGGGGGTGGGGGGTGGGGTGTTGGCTTGCGTGCGTTTAATGTCTATTGCCGCTCTGCGTGGTTTTAATACTGACAACTGGAAACTGCTGCCACTCGTGGTTGGGGGTGGTGGGGAGGTCCTGCAAAAATCACCAGACCAGAGCATCCCCTGCGGATGAACGGGTCTCATTTGTGAATGCCCAGAGTTAGGTGAGGTCAGGTAAGCCAGCTAGTGCAGGTCAAGATCACGTGGGCCATCAGGGCCCACATGTTATCATTGCTTCGTTTCTTCAATCCTGAGCTGTTACGCAGTTGGCATTCCCAAGGTATGCGATTACAGTCTCATCACCGCCATCATCATCTGGTTTGAGGTTGTTCCCTTGGTGTGCAGGATACACATTCTCCAAGGACCACTCTTCACGATCTCATCATCACCACCACCATCTGATCTTAAGGCCTTTTCCCTTGGTTGGCGACCTCTGGGTGCCACTCCCACAGTTGTCTCGGTTACCCTGCTCCACCCTGCACACCACGTGTCCCGCCCATCACACGAGCTCATCATTTCGATGACACATACACGACTGTCTTTTCACATTCGATTCCGGACAACAAAAGTGTCTTACCCTATCGTGCCACGCACATCCTGGCGTCTTCTGCAAGCGCCTGAACTCAAGCACAATAAACTTATTTTCCAGTTGCAGTGTTTTTTCCAGTGCAGTGCAATAATGGATGCTGCTGCGCTGCAGTAACCTACAATAACGAGCTGTCAATGAACCGTGCTCAGCGATCTAAGCGCTATCCAGGCTGATACCTGCTTAGCTTCCGAAATCGGGTGCATTCAGGTCGATTGTTATCGTAGGATATTCATAGTGCTCGAGTCATGAGACCTTTCCTTAACTGCAATCGTTGATAGTTGTAATGCATCTCGCTCAACCCATCCACGGCCCCTGCGCAAGTGGTAGCAATCGACCCCGCAAAGGGATGATATTGGGGTGTATGTAGTGCAAGGATACATGAGCGAAGTCGCACAGCGGCTCGGGGTTTTTTTTGTGCAGAGGTCAAGCCTTGCCCGGTGATTTTGCGAAATTGCCATCACATCGCTCACTCAACTCGCTCGCCCGCTCACCTGCAGCAGCGACCGCTGTGGAGGAGGGAAGCTGGCCCCGCCCCTTCACCTGCAGGGACCCACCCCCTGGCCTCATGAATATTTTAATGAGTGTCCTTAAAAGGAAAACAAACTTTAATCTATACGTCTCACATAGCTGTCAAACCATATGGTTCAAACCGTATTCTTGTAAGGGGAAATTGAGTTTTCAGGTCCATGCGGCGTACAGCCGTTTCAATAAGGGCAAAAAAATGTGTTTTCTCTATTTGTTTGTGTTTCTCCCTTGTGATGGGACTTTGTAGGATGAATGTGGAGATGTAAAAGGGCACGGGGTACCAATAAGGTATGCATTGGTCTGTTAAAAGGTAGGCACTGAGAAGTGATTGACCAGGTATGGTCTCAAAAACATATATGGTACTTGCCGACAAGATAGAACGCTGACATTTGGTACAGGAAAAATCAGAAAATCCGAGATTTTTTATTTAAAGACCCCCAAATCTCGATTTTAAGTGCCCCATAAACATTCAGAAACCGTTCAAAATTGCCGGCTTTTTGGTTTGATAGAACATTAAACGGTAAATCAAATTAAAGCAAGAATCATTGTTCTAACGTTCATTGTTTTTTCAGATGTTTCGGATTCAAGCGGTTTTGAAGGCAAAAATCCGCATTTTATGACGTTGAAATCAGAATAATTCGGAAACAGTAAAAGAAAGGAGCTTCCCCTCATAGAGTATTAAGTTCGTTAATTTTTGTTCTTTCTAATAAAAAAGAACGGAATCTTCAAATCGAGCGGTTTCCGATGAGCACGTCTTTAAATAAAAGTTGAATCAAATCAACTATTTTTTTAGGAAATATACTATTTGGAGTAGTTGTTAGTTGTCTGATCGTCGATTCAAATTGTAAAAAATATCAAGTTGATTATTATATTCATTAAAAACCTTTGCCTGGCGAAAACAGGCTTTATGAACTAGTATATATAATTTCATTTTATATAGCATCATTCATGCAATTGCAAGCCACAACGACGTTTCGGGCAATGGTCCTTCTCCGTATCGCATGAATAGATATGCCAGAGAGACAGAGCGGATAGTACGAGTTGGAGACTACACTTTAGGCCAAGGAGCCTGATGAGAATGAAAAGTTGAAAGTGTGAATTTCCAGTTGCTTTTCAAGTTGACGTAGGAATAGTTACCCAATATTAGTTGATGAGCTGTCAAAACCTTCCATCATGAAACAGTGTCACAAAATAAACTAATTTATAGCAAAGTCAAATGTTACCATGCTTCTTAATACTTAGCGATTACTGAAGGGTGTGTTACTAACAAGATGCTATTTCGCACCTCCGATTAGCACAGTTGGCTACACACGGTGCGAAAGAAGTTAGAAAATAGTACTTAAATTAGGAAACTATTTATCACCATGGTATAATCGAATAGTCTCCAATTCTCCCTGGCCTCTCTAGTTATGTGCTATACAGGGCTCGAAATGGGAATAAATTATTGCGGAACTCATCAAAGATTCCCCCCACCCCCTATTAGATGCTGACCGTTCACTCGATCTGAGGAGCTTCGCTCTGTTTGTGGATCTCTGTGCGTGTCTGTAGGTCTCTGAGAATGTCTGTGGATCTCGGTGCGTGTCTGTGGGTCTCTGAGTGTGTCTGTGGGTTTTTGTGGGTCTGTGAGCGTGTCTGTGGGTCTGCGAGCGTGTCTGTGGGTCTCTGAGTGTGTCTGTAGGTCTCTGAGAATGTATGTGGGTCTCGGTGCGTGTCTGTGGGTCTCTGAGTGTGTCTGTGGGTTTTTGTGGGTCTGTGAGCGTGTCTGTGGGTCTGAGAGCGTCTGTGGGTCTCTGAGTGTGTCTGTAGGTCTCTGAGTGTCTGTGGGTTTTGTGGGTCTGAGCGTGTCTGTGGGGTTGTGAGCGTACATGTGGGTCTCTAAGTTTATGTGGGTTGTGGGTCTGTGAGCGTGTCTGTGGGTCTCTGAGCGTGTCTGTGGGTATATGTGCGTGTCTGTGGTTCTGTTAGTCTAGGGGTCTATCTGTGCGTCAAATAAATAAAAAAGATGAATCCGTAATTTCTTCCGGAAAGCAGTCACCTGGATCAAATGTTCACTCCCACCACTGCGTTCCAGGGCGTTTTTTTAAATCCTGTTGGAGGTCACTCAGTGTCATTGACGAATGTCAACTTTGATTGTGCACCACTGCGCGCCAGCATCACCAACTCATGTTTACTGCACATCAAGCATCGTATCGACTGTGGCATTTCAGGTTGAACCGCGAGTTGCTGGTGCAGGAAAGCCTTGTGGATTCACGGCCTTCTCGGGAAGAGTCTTCCACTAAGCCAGTGGTTCTGAGCCTGAGGCGCACGCACCCGCTGCGGTCGCGAGATGCCCTTTCTGAGAACCAAAGGGGGTGCAGGCTGCAGTAAAGGTTCAGAACCACTGCACCAAGGGGTGGCGATTAATGTGTTTATTCCAACTGAGTATATTTTTTATAACTCTCTCTCTCTGAAATTTGGCTATAACGAGACTGGGACATCACAGCCACATTTATAGTGCACGGGCCAGAGCAGCGCTCGGTTCCAGCGGAGATAACAAACCTTGAGCCGTATCAATTTAGAGCATTTATATGGCTGTGTGAATTACCTGATAATCCCACTCGTTTGGAATCGCCATCACATAACTCGACTGTTGCTGGCCACAAATGAACCAGAGCCACTTATATTCTTGCGCATGGCAATATAATAACGTACATTTATTTGTAAGGCACGTTCCACGAATGTCTCAAGGCGCGGATATTCAGGAGCCAATAAACCAAATGCGAGGCGGTTTGAGCAGTGCGTACAGCTTTGCCAATCCTCCGTCGTAGCGGCGGAGTCGTTTACTATACGGTTAAATAGTTTGGGTTGCATGGCCACAAGTCTGTAATCTTAGATTTAGGATGTGCGCATCCACTGCCCGTTGATGGGTTACGCCCAATGTTTTCGAGGAATGCCATAAAGCCAGGTGGTGCAATATTTGGGTCTGGAATGAGGCGTTTATTGCGGACGTCCGCGTCGTTTCACTCCATTGAGAAGCACGTGAGCGATGTCACCTCGGCTGGTCTGGGCTCAATGACTATTAGTAGCCTCAACGTGGTGCCATGAGCGAGCCTGTCACCGGTTCCATCGTTGTAGACTGAACCGAGCTCCACACAAGTGCATCGCTCGGGGGCCACATCTTTTCTAACCGCTACAGCGACGCACCATCACGTGTCTCGAGCTCTTGATGGGTGCCACGGTGGCAAGATGTTACATCCCTTGCCTGGTACGCTTCTATATTTGGAGCTTGCGTGTTCTCCCCGTGTCCTCGGGTTTTTACCTCCACATTCAGAAACGTGCATTTAGTGTTTGGCTGCTATAACTTTCTACATGACAAGCCACTTTGTTCAGCTATCATGTGTGACCAGGTCAGTTCTGAAAAAGAGCTACGTAGCTCAGTGGTAAAATATATTTTTTTTAAGTTTAAAACAGGGACTCCTCTACTTACGAACGAGGTTCCATAAGTCTGTTCGTAAGTTGATTTGTTCGTAAGTCCAACTTTGCCCCTGTTGATTCCAAACAAGTTGTACGGCATGGACACTAAACACGGGGAATGGTTTAAAAAGTTATATCTCTTATAGACGCCATTGGTTCATGTTCTGCAGATGTCGATGCAACTGGTTCATGTTGATATAGATGCCACTGGTTCTTCATGTGCCATCTACATGTGTAACGTAGCTCTCAGACACCGTCTTGTCTTTCTGTATATTTCGAATAAAGTCTGACAATTCAACGAGTCACCATGCGTGACTATTTACGCTTGGGTAGACTATTCTGAGACACATAGCTTCTAGTCTCAAGACATCTCGAAGATGGAGACGACCCGTTCTAAGACGGCAACGATTCCCCACCAACAAGCCCCTCAGGCCCGGTTCGCGCCGGCTCTTATCCCTCGCCCGATCCGGTCACACCCCTATTCTGGAATTCTCACCGCACCTGGCTGTCCATCTCCGCCCTTGAATCCCGTGCTCCTCCTCACGTGACACTGTCAACGCTTGTCCCATCAATCATTAGCACGTCCATTAGTAACCATGGTCCCGGGGAACCCTACTGTCCCACTATTGCTCCGTACTGTCTTTACACATTTATGGACGGGTTTGTATTTCGGAAAGTTCGTAAGTAGAATGTTCGTAAGTAGCAGTCCCTTTACGAAGTGGTGAGGGGGGGCAGCCTCGCCACAGCCCAGCAGCGAGAGGCGATGCAGTGTGAGTTTCCAAGACGGCGCTCCCTGAATTATTTAGTTAACGGATCCGTGCCAAGCGCAGTGGACAGAGTCCAGGTGGAAGCATGTTGACCTCCCATAGTGCGAGCAGACAGCTGTCTCTTGACACAATTTACACTCCGAAAATGCTTCAGCGCTAGTTTCCATAGCAGCAGCAACTAGAGCAAGGAGTCGACGGAAAATAGGGTCCTTAATATTCACTCTTTCAGACATCACAGAATAATTGTGGTACTCCATATTTACTTTCACACATACAAAACATTTTACAATATAATCTTTAATAAATAACACTTTTCAAAGTAAACAACACGTACAACCGGCAAAAAGGGTTAGTGTTCAATTGTCGGCAGGGTGCAACATTTTTATTCATCGGCCAACGAGTACCCATACATTTGGAACACGTTGTTCCAAATGTCTTGGTGGCAAATAATTCACACGGCAACTTCCGACTTTGTTTCAACCTCAGCGAGCTTCATCAGCAAGCCACGTCCTCCTAAAACAATGCTTCCCAGTAACGAGGGAGCCCAAATTGCATGCAACACCAACACTGTAGCGTTGGGATTTAAAGACGCCTCGGCAACCTCTATCATTGCCCCAAAGCACGTCAGTAGTTGTACCGCCACGTCTTGGGAACCTTCCACTTGGGGACATTGGAGTACCTGCCCGCATTCTTGTGCCGCTTACCAAACAGCTTCACCCTCACCTCGGCCAAGACGAGATTGTGGTCCGAGCCGATGTCCGCGGACCTGTACGGCCGGACGTCCAGAACGGACGTTGCGTGCTGCTCCCTGGTGATGACAAAATCAACGATCTTCTCCCTCTGGTCCTCTGGCGACACCCACGTGGCCTCGTGGGAGTTCTTCTGCTGGAACTGCGTGTTGCAGACGACGAGCTTATTGCCGCTGCAGAACTCGAGCAGACGCACTCCGTTGGCATCCTCGGGCCCCATCCCGTGCGGGCCCAGGACGTGCCCCCCAGTAATCATAGTTGGTGCCCACCTGCGCGCCAAAGTCTCCGAGGAGCAGGAGGACGTCGTGCTTGGGCACCGACTCCAAGATCTCCTGCAGCTTGTTGTAGAACCGCTTCCTGGAGTCCTCCTTCGCAGGCTCGCTCGGCGCGTAGGCCTCGATGACCGTCACGTTGCACACCTTGAATTTCAACCTCAGCAAGACGATCCGCTCGTCCACCAGCTCGAACTTGCTTACGTGCTTCTCCATTCGATTGCTGACGGCAATGCCGACCCCGAGCTGGAGCCGTCCATCCTTGGACCCGCTGCACCAGAGGGTGTAATCCTCTATCTCAGTGCTGCCCGAGTCGGCCAGTTTTGTGTTGCAGACCCCGCAGATCATGACGTTGTAGCGCCTCAGCTGGCCGACCAGTGTCACCACCTTGTCTTCCTCGTCGAGCGCTCGCACGTTCCCGTGAGCCACCCGCGTCCGGGACTTGGCGTCGATCTGGCAAATTCCTCCCAAGCACCGTCCGCACACGCTTCCCCCGTCGGCGCCTTCGCTGCTGCTGCCGCCGCCTGGCAACCCCACGGCCCTGGCCGACGCGCTTTCCGTGGCCATCGCTTCGCCGACGCGTCGTCTGCGGCAACCTCGTTTGTCGGAGCGGCATCCGAGTCGGCTTGAGACGGTCCAGTCGAGCGCGAGTCGTGGGGTGGCGCTCGGTGGGCCGCGTCGCTGGTGGGAAGCGGGGCGGCGCCATCTCCTGCGTCCGCGTGGTGCGATGCCATTGGCCTTGCTACCCAAACTCTGGCTACTGCCTGGACTTGGCCGATGTGGTCAGGCAATGAACTGTGGGAAATTCACAGGCGGAAAAACAATGGGGAAACAATCACACTAAACTGCTTGTGATTTTATTAAAATAACTGTTGCAACATTTCAACCAAAAATTTTAATATAAGTTTTAGCATTTATCTATTAAAAACAAATCATGATTGATATTTTTAAGCATCCAGTCCCCCTTTCTAAACCTAATATGCCATGACCATTTATTGTCATGGCCATAAACCATAACACTCCGGGGTCTACCCCACAGCATATTTTGGCTAACCATCGAACAAAGACGGTCGCCGCATTGCGCGCTTTCAGGTGCGCTTCTGCGGCCGTCTAGAACGCTCTTCCCTCCGATATTAGGAATCCACTGGAGCTATGCACTTTTAAGTCTAAATTGAAAACTTTTTTTTTATAAATGCTTTTTATGTTTCATCTATTGTGCTTACCCCACACCTCTGATTAGCACAGTTGGCCACATACGGTGCAAAAGAAGTTCAACATACATACATAGTTACAGATACCTGGCAGTGCCACTTATTTGTCGGTTTCCAGTCTCTGATAGTGTTACCCGTGATACGGCTCATCAGGGGGTACAGCTGCAAATCCCATTGCAGGTCAACTCCAAATCAACATCAGCACTTCAGGGGTCAGTAAACCATGTGGTGAGGCTGCTTGTTGCTGAACCGAGGCCAAACCCTGCCACAGTAAAATGGAACTTCCACCACCGAACAAGAACAGGGAGGGATAGCTGCAACCCAGGAATCGTTTAGCTTCGGAATATTGACGATGAATGCACGCAGTAGCACTGGGACATCAGTTCAAGTAAAACGGTTTCATGGCCACTGCACAATCACAGCGGCCTTCAATTGGGTAAACAGCTTAAGAGTCATCATCGTCGTCCCAGTGGTGCTCAGCGCTCACTCCGACTCACCCGCACTCACCTTGAAAGGTCCACCGGGCTTCAGAGGATTCCTCGTCCTCAAGACCCCATGCCAGGTTCAGCCGGTACAAATTCACCAAGCTGGCAAGAAATTAAAAGTTAATTACCTCATGAGGAATAACATCACTTTCATCAGACAAATTATATAATGGGGACCTCAGTTGGTTATGAATGCTGTTTTCACAGCAGCTGTTATTCCAGCCGCATTCAATTGGGTAAACGGCTTCAGAGATCATCATCGTCCCGACAGCGAGTCCTGTGTCACCTTGTAAACAATCCCAGCGTCCCCACCTCGTGCCTCTGAACAGCGCTCACCGGCTCATGGGAACTCCTTCGCTGTGCGGAGCTCCTTCAAATTCTCCGGTCGCTCTCCATCCTGATGAACAACAAAAAATCGATTAACTACACGCTCGTTATAATAGTATGCGTAATATTCTCCTACTCCTATGAGCGATATCTCCATGAAGTGTGTAAAGAGAATCATTAAGGTTGGTTTCAATGCCACACGAGCAGCATCTCATCACACTTCTGCTGTACAAAAAGCCAATTCAGCGCCTTGGGCAAGGCAATATTATAAATTAAAATAAGATGAATAAGATCTTCCACATATACCAACTGAAACCGTCTGTTAAGGCACAATACAGTTCCAACACCAAGAAGGGTTTTAATACCTCATTATCTAAACAGTTTCAGTGATAAGATGACTTATTCTTAGTTTTTTCGGTAAAGTCACGTTGAAGAGAAACAACAAAATAACAAAATATATATAAAACAATAAAAAAAAAATTCTCACGACGTTTCGACCTGATGATGACCGTTTGAGTTATGGTCGAAACGTCGTGAGAATTTTTTATTGTTTTATATATATTTTGTTATTTTGTTGTTTCTCTTCAACGTGACTTTACCGAAAAAACTAAGAATATGAATTACTGCAGTCACGAAAGCTTTAAATCAAAATAAGATGACTTGTCGCGCGTTTTAGTAACGGGCGACTGGAACCAGGATTCACACTAAGAACCAAAGAACTCTGGCTCTGTGCTCTGACACTGTTATCGTGAGCCTCCCCCTGGGTCAATTGGCCACCTCACAGATAAATTAAATTCTCTGTACTCATCTCCAGAAAAGAATATGATCACACACAATTTTCCAACCATAAAATGTGGCTATGTGCGCTGATGTATGCTACCACCTCATACGGTAGACTCTCAATTAACCGGGTGCGGTTTATCCGATTTGCGGATTAACCGTTCACCTGAGATTTTGAAATAAATGAATAGCTCATGGATTTTCCCTTAAGCCCAAATTAATCATCTATAAACAGTTATGTATTGTTATTCTTGAAAATGTTTATTACAAATCACGTGCTTACACCGAATAAATATTTTACTCCAGTTAATTTGAAATACACGTGACCACCTCTACAGTACAGTAGTTGCAATATCTTTACAACAGTGGGCAGAGTTTGATTGATTTTGATTGGCGTAGCTCTATCATCCACTTTGTGGGCCGAGTCTTCTGCGCGTGAGCAATAAAGTGTGTTTTCTTAAGTTAAACATAATTTATACCCCTATATTAATGGTTTTTGGCAAAGCGATCAATGAAAATTTACATTTTTGGATCATCCACAATTTTTTTTATTATCCACGGCCGTCCTTGCCATCATTAGCGCAGATAATCGAGAGTCGACTGTATTTGCAAGAGGTTCTGTATCAGCAAAGTTTGTCTGAGGAATAGCCTGCCTCCACTATGGAAAAGTGGAACTTGAACCACTGGTAAAAGGCCACAGAAATGAGTGCTACTTAATGCTCATGTGGGCAAGGGCAGACATTTAACCGAGTGAAACATGACAAGATTTTAACGAAACGTTGACACTCGGCCTTGCGCACTGGGACCTCAGTTCAAATAAAGCGGTTTCATGGCCAAGTCAAATCACAGCGGCCTTCAATTGGGTAAACGGCTTAAGAGTCATCATCATCGTCCCAGTGGTGCTCAGCTTTCCGCAGTGCTCACTCCGACTTGCCCATGCTCACCTTGCAAAGTTTCAGAAGACTGAAGATCACATGCCAGGTTCAGCCGGTACAAATCCACCAAGTTGACAAGAGATAAAAAATATAACGCAAACGTTAATGACTGATTCTGTAATAACATTCAATTAATCAGATACATTGTCATGGGGACCTCAGTTAGTTATGAATGCTGTTTTCACAGCAGCTGTTATTCCAGCCACATTCAATTGGGTAAACGGCTTAGAGATCATCATCGTCCCGACAGCGAGTCTGTGTCGCCGTCTCAACAATCGCAGCGTCCCCGCCTCGTGTCTCCGAACGGTGCTCACCGGCTTCATGGGAACTCCTTGCTCTGTGTGGAGTTCCTTCAAATCATCCGGTCACTCTCCTTCATCCTGATGGGCAACAAGCAATCAATCAAGCCTGTACTCATCATTGTGTTCGATAACCATATTCTCCTACTGCTAAATAGCGTCATCAAGGTAATCATTATGGAGGTTGGTTTCGATGACAAATGTGAAGAATTATGTCATACGTCCCAACCACCTCTGTTAAGTTTAATATTTGTAATTGTTAAATCACTGTAAAGTTCAACACTAACCAAGGCAGATTACCCTACGTTATCCAAACATATCAGCAAGTGCTGGAAGGCCTCCGCACACTGTCGGCATCTTTGTATGTTAAACTTATTTTGCACCGTACGTAGCCAACCGTCCTAATTGGAGGTGCATGAAAATCTTTCAGGGTCCAATGCTGCTACCATGCATCTAACTTCTGCACGTGAACTCATCACTAAATGTCCACCCCCTGCATAGAAATGTGGAACTTCCACCACAGGCATGTGACAATTAACAAGACATGAGAACCACCCAATGGTATTTTGAACAGGGACAGAGGTGATTGAAGTGATGACTAAAGGATTTTTAGAAAAACGACACTCGGGCTCGCACACTGGGACCTCAGTTCAAGTAAAGCGGTTTCACGGCCACTTCAACGGCCTTCAATTGGGTAAACGGCTTAAGAGTCATCATTGTCGTGCCAGTGGTGCTCAACGCTCCGCAGTGCTCACTCTGAATCGCCCATGCCTCACCATGCAGCAAGCTCCACCTGGCTTCAGAGGACTCAAGACCCCATGCCAGGTTCAGCCGGTACAAATTCACCCAGCTGGCAAGAGATTAAAATAATGCAAACGTTAATAACTTCTTAAGAAATAACAAAACTTTCAGCAGACATTCCATAATGGGGAACGCAGTTGGTTATGAATGCTGTTTTCACAGCAGCTATTTTTCCAGCCGCATTCAATTGGGTAAACGGCTTAGAGATTATCATCGTCCCGACAACGAGTCTGTGTCACCGTCTCAACAATCCCAGCGTCCCCGCCTCGTGTCTTTGAACGGCACTCACCGGCTCGTGGGAACTCTTCGCTCTGTGTGGAGCCCCTTCAAATCCTCCGGTGCCTCTCCTTCATACCGATGACACACGCCCATTAAGAACGTGAAAAAACATTTTCATGCTCGTACGACCATCATCTTAAACAAGGGAATTACTATCAAGGTTGGCTTCCATGCCATATGGACCATTATCTGTCACGTGTCCCAAACTAATACCCCACCTCTGTTAAGACGTAATACAGTTAAACACCAATACTGGCATATTATCCTACTGATTCACTCCTGCAGTGATTTGATGACTCGACAGATGATTTAACCGCAGGCGGCAAAAAACAGAATTTGAACCAAGCTATTCTGGCTCTGTGCTTTGACAGGGTTATCATGACACGTCGACACTCAGGATCGCATACTGGGAACTCAGTTCAAGTAAAGCAGTTTCACGGCCACTTCAACGGCCTTCAATTGGGTAAACGGCTTAAGTGTCATCATCGTCGTCCCAGTGGTGCTCAGCTTTCCGCAGTGCTCACTCCGACTTGCCCATGCTCACCTTGCAAAGTTTCAGAGGACTGAAGATCACATTTCAGGTTCAGCAGGTACAAATTCACCAAGCTAGCAAGAGATTAAAAAAATAACGCAAATGTTAATGACTTATTCAGTAATAACATTCAATTAATCAGATACATTCTGTCATGGGGACCTCAGTTAGTTATGAATGCTGTTTTCACAGCAGCTGTTATTCCAGCCACATTCAATTGGGTAAACGGCTTAGAGATCATCATCGTCCCTACAACGAGTCTGTGTCATCGTCTCAACAATCCTAGCGTCCCCGCCTCGTGTTCCTGAACGGCACTCACTGGCTCATGGGAACTCCTCTCCCTGTGTGGAGCTCCTTCAAATCCTCCAGCCGCTCTCCTTCATCCTGATGGGCAACACGCAATTACTCAACCATGTACTCGTCAGTATCTTACATAACCATATTATTCCAACTGCTAAATAGCGTCAAGGTAATCATTATGGCGGACGGTTTTGATGCCAAATGTGAAGGATTATCTGACATGCGTCCCGACCACCTCTGGTAATTTTAATATTTTTCACTGTTAAATCACTGTAAAGTTCAACACGAACAAAGGCAGATTACCCAACACTATCCAACTATATCAACAAGTGCTGGAAGGCCTCCCAACAGTCACCATATTTGTATTTATGTAAAAACTTATTTCACACTCTATGTAGCCAACTGTGCTAATCAGAGGTGCGTGAAAATCTTTCAGGGTTTCATGCTGCTACCATGCATCTAACTCCTGCACGTGAACTCATAACTTCATGTCCACCCCCCTGCGTGGAAATGTGGAACTTCCACCACTGGCACACAGCAATAAACAAGAGATGAGAACCACCCAATGCTCTTTTGAACGAGTGCAAATAGAAGGTGATGGAAGTGATGAAGGGATTTTAGCAAAACGTTGACACTCGAGCTCGCACACTGGGACCTCAGTTAAATTAAAGCGGTTTCACGGCCGCTGCAATCACAACAGCCTTCAATTGGGTAAACGGCTTAAGAGTCATCATCGTCGTCCCAGTGGTGCTCAGCGCTCTGCAGTGCTCTCCGAATTGCCCGTGCTCACCTTGCAAGGTCCACCTGGCTTCAGAGGACTCAAGATCAGGTGCCAGATTCAGCCGGTACAAATTCACCAAGCTGACAAGAGATTAAAAATAACGCAAAATTAATAACCTCTCAAGGAACATCACTTTTTTCAGACAAATTCTATAATGGGGAACTCAGTTAGTTATGAATGCTGTTTTCACAGCAGCTGTTATTCCAGCCGCATTCAATTGGGTAAACGGCTTAGAGATCATCATCGTCCCGACAGCGAGACTGTCACCGTCTCAATAATCCCAGCGTTCCCGCCTCGTGTCTCTGAAAGGCACTCACCGGCTCATGGGAACTCCGCGCTCTGTGTGGAGCTCCTTCAAATCCTCCGGTGGCTCTCCTTCATCCTGATGACGACACACGTCCATTCAGAATGTTAATTTTAAAAAATGTATGCTCGTATGACCATCATGATGTTCCCATCCTACCACCTTCCGATGTTAGTTGTGCTTTACGCCCATTTCAAACCTTTATAAACAGTTTGCCTTTGGAAGTTAAATCCCCTTTTCCTGAAGACGACCGCTCGTGTTGCGATCGAAACGTCGTAGTTTTTGTTATTTTCTTTTAACCTATCTACATGACTTGACCGAAAGACCCAAAGAACATGACCATCATCTGAAACAAGGGAATTACTATCAAGGTTGGTTTCCATGCCACATGGACCATTTTCTGTCAAGTGTCCCAAACTAATACCCCACCTCTGTTAAGACGTAATACAGTTAAACACCAATACTGGCATATTATCCTACTGATTCACTCCTGCAGTGATTTGATGACTCGACAGATGATTTAACCGCAGGTGGCAAAAAACAGAATTTGAATCAAGCTATTCTGGCTCTGTGCTTTGACAGGGTTATCATGACACGTCGACACTCAGGCTCGCATACTGGGAACTCAGTTCAAGTAAAGCGGTTTCACGGCCACTTCAACGGCCTTCAATTGGGTAAACGGCTTAAGTGTCATCATCGTCGTCCCAGTGGCGCTCAACGCTCTGCAGTGCTCACTCCAAATCGCCAGTGCCTCACCTTGCAAGCTCCACCTGGCTTCAGAGGACTCAAGACCCCATGCCAGGTTCAGCCGGTACAAATTCACCAAGCTGGCAAGAGATAAAAAATAACGCAAACGTTAATAACCTCTTAAGGAAAACATCACTTTCATCACACAAATTATATAATGGGGACCTCAGTTGGTTATGAATGCTGTTTTCACAGCAGCTGTTATTCCAGCCGCATTCAATTGGGTAAACGGCTTAGAGATCATCATTGTCCCGACAGCGAGTCTGTGTCACCGTCTCAACAATCCTAGCGTCCCCGCCTCATGTCCCTGAACGGCACTCACCGGCTCATGGGAACTCATCTCCCTGTGTGCAGCTCCTTCAAATTATCCAGTCGCTCTCCTTCATCCTGATGGGCAACATGCAATCTATCAACCATGTACTCGTCATTATGTTTGTGACTAACATTTTCCTGCTCGCCTAAGGAACACCTGAGTGAATGTCTGCAAGGGCTGTAATTCGCTTAAGTGATGATGAAAATATTTTACCGAAACGTCAACACACAGGCTCGCACAGTGGGACTTCAGTTCAAGTAAAGCGGTTTCACGGCCACTAAAATCACAGCAGCCTTCAATTGGGTAAACGGCTTAGAGATCATCATCGTTCCGACAGCGAGCCTGTGTCATTGTCTCAACGCACCCAGCGTCCCCGCATCGAGTAATGCAGACGTCTGTGCAAGCGAGAAGGCAATTCAAAATAAACAAACTAAGTTACTGTCTGTGTAGGCCAGTGGTTTCCAATAGAGGTCGCACACACCTGGGGGTATGAGTGATATCTCTGAGGAATACGCGAGATAATTAAAACTATTTTGTTAATTGTGAAGTGTTAACTAAACTCCCGAGGTGTCAGTTGACGGAAAATGGAATTAAAAATGTATTTAATTACTTCTAACATCATGCCTATACCATGGTAGGGATACGCAGACAATGTATACAGATATTTGGAACTGCTGGTGTAGGTTACATGGAATATCCTTGTGCATTTGTTTTGCAGAAACATGTACATGCAGGCTAATGTCGATCTGCTAAACCCCTCAGGCTGTGTTGTACCCATCTGCACTCACATTTAGCTTTGCGTTCTTCCACTCTGGGCTGCCAAGGCCACGATGATCTTGTGGTGGGCAAAATGCAAACCCAACACCCCTCACAGGATACATCACAGCAGGCGTATTCAGCAACGCAGGCTTTCCTGCAAAGAGACATCGTCACACAGTACGCCATCATCACCAGAAACCACAATACCACCGGTTTTCATATCACTCAACACCGTGACATCTCAACGCTAGCCAATGATAATTACTGGGGCCAAACTAAATATTCTGTGCCTGTTAGGCCATAGGCAGCCCAGATCCACACGTACAGCCTTTTGTTGTGTCAATCCACTTTTGGATGAAGGACTCTCCCAGGCCATGCAGGTCATGGTGACTAGAATGGTGACGTATAGACTCAAAGGCAGTATTAATTTGTTGTGTCCAGCACGGGGTCGGAATCCAACCAGGTCGCACGTTCAAATCCTAGCCGGGAGTTGACCTAGCCTATCAACCTGCCATGCGAATGGAAAATTCCCAACAGTCTTATGGCTGCAAATAGAGACGGGTACTACTCCAGGTAATTTCAGCTGGGACGAACGTAAGACTTTGATATTATTCAACCCAAAAGGCAGCCCCGGTCAAATACCACGTTTGCTAGTTGTGCAATATTCGTTAAGGACCCTGTACAGGCAGACCTAGATTAGCGCGACCCCATAGAACTCTGATCCTTTATAACGCTCTTCGTCCTGGAGAACATTTTTAGCAATTTTTTTTACTCATCATAAAGGTTTTTGGGTGAGATCGCGCAAGTATAAATGTGTCGTAACCCTCCACGACCAAACATCCATTAAGTTTCGTCCCCTAAACAAAACGTGCCAATTCGTTTACTACTTGTGTTGGAGAGTAAATCCACAACATTTACAATTTGAATACGTGCTTACGAGAACACGCAATGGTATAACAATCCCTTTCAGTGCCGATTCGATAGCGCTCACTTCTCCAGGAACGCATCTTGAAGCTCTAAACGAGGTCTGCCAGCAGTGACGTTTTTGTTGTTGTCTGTGCTAACGGAACTCCCGTGTAAAATAGCCAGGCAACTGGCTGAACGGGATAATTCCGTGTAACAAAATAAAAAAGGACTTAAACCAGACCATATTACCTCCTATAATCACCCAGAAATGTCTGTCCGTCCCGCACGTGACGTCAGTCCACATTAGGCCCACCCCACCGCGTGATGTCACTCCACATTAACATTAACGAGTGGGTGGATTTTTACACCAACGCAGGTCGAGCTGAATTAAATTATGTATTACGCAAAGTCGCTTAAAATGACGTTTATTTACAGAAAGTGACGGTAAAAAATAGACACACCAGTGCACCATTAGTGCGTGACGTCACTGCAAAAGAGCACCCGCCCCTTCATTAATATTCATGCCCACGTTGAAATTACACGAACGCACAAGGTCGCGCACTCCACATGCCACACCCCTCCCCTCATTAATGAGCGGGTGACGTCACTCCACATGCCGCAACCCTCCACAATAACCATGAGGTGACGTCACTCCACGTGCAGCACCCCGCCATAATAACCATTAGCGGGTGACGTCACTCCACATCGGGCAACGCCCTCCTCATTAATAATCATGAGCTGAACAATTTTTCTATTGGATATTTCAAATTGACTGCAATATACACGCCCCGTCCTTGAACGGGCAAACAGGTGAATCCCCCCTCCCCCACCACATGCCAGCTCGACCTGCGTATTCTCTGGCCGTACTCTTTGGTTCTTTCGGTAAAGTCACGTAGTTATAAATAAAACAAACCACGACGTCTCTCTCTCTCTCTGACCGACCTAGAGGATGATATAGACAAAGATCCCCCCGTATAGCCTTAAGTGCCGGGGCAAGTGTTGTTAGCAAAGCATCTAATGAACGCCGGCACGGCACACGAGGGGGTGGCGTGGCCAGCACCACGCCCGACCGCCTTTGTCTCCCCAGCGGCGATGTTTACTACACACCGCACCAGGTACTCATTTGAGGCCGAGTCAACCGAGGGGAGGCCCGGGACCGGTTCAGATAATCGTCACCGACGTTGGCCGTGAGCGGGAATCGAACTCGGGTGGGCAGGGTTCGTAGCGCAGCGCTGACCCCCCCTCAAGTAGGAGACATTCGTACACCGCCATCCTCGCGCGCGCTTACAGAATATTTACTCATCCTGCTGAAGGAATGATCCCATTAACTGTGAAGCTCTTTGGGGTGTGAGACCGGCACGGTTGAAGCGTGGCTACGTTAGAACCACCGCTACCCCCCCCCACCCCCCACAAGCGACGTGCTATATAGGAGGCCCCCTTCGTCGAACGGGAGCTTTCGAAAGGCTTCGAATTTAATAAATCGTCATTTACCTTAACTGCTCAAGGAGCTGCCCCCCTTTCGGAGCGTGACGCGACTTCTTCGCCGAGGAGACGCATCGACGGCATCGGCTGCGTGTGCAGGCGGGAGGGAGAAGGGAGTGGGGGAGGCCTCCATCCAGCAGTAGAGTGACCACGGCTGTCCATTTCTGCGCCGCTCTTTTGCCCAGTCGCGACCACGGCGCACGGGACTGCCACGTGCGCCGCTCTTCGGGGCGAGGGTTAATTATTATAAAACAGGCGACGGCTGTGCGCGAGCAATAGCCGTACTAGCGAAGCGCTCCTTCGTTGGTTTGTCGGACGTGATGATAGAGGATTGTTGTAAAAGTTAAAACGATCTCTGTACTGCCAGGCGCCGTTGCTCGCCGTGCCGCCGCCGGCTCAACCGGAAAGAGAAGGCTCCACGGGAAGTGACGCCCGTTGGGGATATGCTAATTATGCACCGCCTCTGACGCAATGAGAGAGAGAAAGGGGCCGCCCATAAATGACGTCACGCGATTTTTGACGATTTTTGACCCCCCCTGGTCACACGGCGTCACAAAAAGTCAGACCCCTTCCTCAAATATGACGTCAAAGCTCTGCCCCCCCCCCCGCCCCAAAACAATAAACATGCTTCAAATCGTTTTACTTGGTTCTTTCGGTAAAGCCACGTAGAAGGGAAACAATAAAAATAAAAATATAAAACAATAAAATTCTCACGACGTTTCGACTGCAACACAAGCAAACATCAGGTGTGAAAACCACAAGAAAATTTGAAAAAAGTACCGTACATTGCCACTTTTTCAAATTTTCTTTTTGTGGTTTTCACACCTGATGATGATTGCTTGTGTTGCAGTCGAAACGTCGTGAGAATTGTATCGTTTTATATTTTTATTATTTTATTGTTTCGCTTCTACGTGACTTTACCGAAAGAACCAAGAATATGAATCCCTGCAGTCACGAAAGCTTTAAATCAAAATTTGATGCTTCAAATCGCTTTAAACTATTGTCATTGTAGTGTGTATTTAATGTGGCGCTGCACTCTGATGTTGTAGGAGAAAACATTTATTTAAAAGTGTATTTAATTAAGCAGAATTAATAATTTATTTCAAGTTGCGCATATTTATGTGACGTCACATTTCTCCCCCCCCCTTCGTCACACATCATCACAAATGTCTGACCACCCCCCCCCCCCCTCGGTGCGTGACGTCATTTATGGACGGCTCCAAAGACATATAGAGAGAGACAGATAGAGACAGACATATAAAAACAGACAGAGAGAGACAGACAGAGAGACAGACAGAGAGACAGAGAAAGTGAGAGACAGACAGAGACACAGAGAGAGACTGTGGTGCCGCCGCCACGGAGCCGCTCCGCCGGGGCCATACCCACCGCCGTGACGCCGCCACCAAGGAGCGACAGCACCGATGCTGCTCGCCCCTCACCGCCCCCCACATAAATGCACGCATACCCCACATAGAGCCCGAGGGGAAGTCACCTGGCCGGCAGGTTTTCGTCCAGAAGCCCCTAATGCAGGGGTCGGGAACCTATGGCTCGCGAGCCAGATGTGGCTCTTTTGATGATTGCATATGGCTCGCAGATAAAACAAAATATTCTCACTTGTTTTAATCCATCCATCGATTTTTCACTGCGCATGTCCTGTTCAGGGCTGCAGGAGCAATTGTCCATTATTTTAATTGGATGATACTGGCCTACGTTTGCCGTTGCTGGGTAAAACAGGTAAACGCCCCCTTTTGAATCAGTCTGAGACTGCGTCTGCTCGGTCATTAGCTCAAAGCTAACCCTTCGACGAAGAAGATGGCGAAAATAAAAAAAAGACGACGAGTATCGTACATTTCAGGACGAATGGACCGAAGAATTCGCCTTTGTGGAGAGAGCGGGTTCTGCGGTGTGTCTAATTTGCAATGACAAAATTACATCGTTGAAACGGTCGAATGTAAAGCGGCACTTCGACACGCGCCACACTACCTTTGCATCAAAATACCCTGCGGGAGACAGCAGAAAGAAAGCGTGCCAAGAGCTTCTGAGCAGGGTGCAAGCTAGCCAGCAGCAACTCCGCGTATGGACCCGGCAAGGTGACTATAATTCGGCTAGCTTTGCTGGTTCTTTAGCAATAGTGAGGAACGGAAAACCATTCACAGATGGCGAGTATGCTAAAACGTTCATGCTGGATGTAGCCAATGAACTTTTTGATGATCTTCCGAACAAAGACAAGATAATCAAACGGATACAAGACATGCCTCTGTCGGCAAGAACTGTTCATGATCGTACCATCGTGATGGCAAACAAAGTGGAGGAAACGCAAGTGAAGGACATAAATGCAGCGCCGTTCTTTTCTCTGGCTTTGGATGAGTCAACAGACGTGAGCCATTTGTCGCAGTTCAGCGTGATTGCAAGATATGCTGTTGGTGACACACTGCGCGAAGAAAGTCTTGCTGTTCTGCCATTAAAAGGGTCCACAAGAGGTGAGGATTTATTCAAGTCTTTCATGGAGTTTGCTCAAGAAAAAAGTCTACCTATGGATAAACTTCTCTCAGTGTGTACTGATGGTGCTCCGTGTATGGTGGGGAAAAACAAAGGATTTGTGGCGCTTCTCCGTGAACATGAAAATAGACCCATCCTAAGTTTCCATTGCATTATACACCAGGAGGCACTTTGTGCTCAGATGTGTGACAGGCAGTTTGGCGAAGTGATGTCGCTGGTCATTCGTGTGATCAACTGTATTGTTGCCCGAGCCTTAAATGATCGCCAGTTTAAAACACTGCTGGATGAAGTTGTAAATAACTATCCTGGTCTGCTTTTGCACAGCAATGTGCGTTGGTTGTCAAGAGGGAAGGTGCTTAGCCGTTTTGCGGCTTGCCTGAACGAAATCCGGACTTTCCTTGAAATGAAAGGCGTCGGGCATCCTGAGCTAGCCGACACCGAGTGGCTCCTCAAGTTTTACTATCTCGTAGATCTGACTGAACATCTGAACCAGCTCAACGTGAAAATGCAAGGCATTGGAAATACAGTGTTATCCCTTCAACAAGCTGTATTTGCTTTTGAAAACAAGCTGGAGCTTTTCATCACGGATCTTGAAACAGGTCGTTTACTACATTTTGAAAAACTGAGCCAATTTAAAGATGCATGCACAGCAAGTGAGCCCATTCAAAACCTTGATCTCCACCAGCTAGCTGGCTGCACATCCAGTCTCCTACAGTCCTTCAAAGCACGCTTTGGAGAATTTCGTGAGCACACTCGTCTTTTTAAGTTCATCACCCATCCAAACGAGTGTTCACTGAACACAGCCGACCTGAATTACATCCCTGGTGTCTCCGTCAGAGATTTTGAAGCAGAAGTGGCTGACCTGAAGGCCTCAGACATGTGGGTGAATAAGTTCAAGTCACTGAATGAAGATTTGGAAAGAATCACACGACAGAAAGCGGAGTTGGCGAGCAAGCACATGTGGACAGAAATGAAAAAACTCCAACCCGAAGACCAGCTGATTCTCAAAACTTGGAACGCGCTTCCTGTCACATACCACACACTGCAGCGTGTGAGTATTGCTGTATTGACCATGTTTGGATCTACGTATGCATGTGAGCAGTCATTCTCACATCTTAAAAACATCAAGTCCAACCTACGATCACGTTTAACGGATGAAAGCCTCAACGCTTGCATGAAGCTTAACCTCACCAAGTACCAACCCGACTACAAAGTACCAACCCGACTACAAAGACATCAGCAAATCCATGCAGCACCAGAAGTCGCATTAATGGTGAGTGTTATAACAACATTATTTAAAGAATAAATTCAGAGGCTTATTATACTGACATTTAGTTTAATTCACTTTTAAAATATATTATATGGCTCTCACTGAAATAAATTTCCAAATTTTTTGCTTTCATGGCTCTCTTAGTCAAAAAGGTTCCCGACCCCTGCCCTAATGGGATCAAGCTTCATGGTTTCCTACGGCCGGGGAATTGGGCGCCCTACCCCCGAGGCTAACGTGCACTGCGGCGCCGTGATCTGGGATTGTAATTGCGTGGTCACGGCAGGGGCTGTTGAGCCACCGCGGAGGGAAACACGCACACGCAACACGGGTCAGTGGGCTGGTAGCGGGAGGAGCAGAATGCGGACGTCGAGGGGACCACTGCGGTGACATCAGCAGAGCTAGGATCCGACTATCAAAAGAGCGGGAAAATCCGGACCCCTGATTGGACGGGACGCCAGGGGGGCGGGGCAGCGCGGTGCCCTTTGATGTGAGGGAGGACAATAAAAGAGGGTGAACCAGGGAGTGAGGGAAGTAGTGTTCTTCAAGGCATCGAGATCAGCGGGGTGTTGGAGCCAGCCGTTCGAGTCGCCCGTGTGACAAGGTTCAACGCAGCCAGGCCCAATTCTCTACGGAGACGACGCACAGCATCGCCCTTCCACAGCTTCCGGCGCATCAGAGTGGGGGTAAGCGTAAGTAAGGGAGAGGTGAGTTTGGGCTAAATAACAACGGGAGAATAAGGGAGCACCCAGCCGGATAGGTTACGAGAGATACGTAAGGGTTAAGTTCCAGGCAACCGAGGGATAGACTAGCGTCTGCTGACCCACATTGGCACTCTGAGCTACGTTGGATTTGTTGCGGAGAATAAATCGTCGGGAGGGTATAAACCGTGTCGTGTGGTCTCTGTGAGCGCGGAAAGGAGGGTGGAGTGTAGTGGGTCGGGTCGCCGGGGCGCACGGTAATAACATCCAACCGTTCGGTAGAGCGCCTGGTGTTCGCGTACACGCGCGGCTGTTTAAACGGCCTTTAAATCGGGGCAGAGTGACTCCCTCCAAATAGCGGCGCGTGCACGGTGGACGCCCCTGACTTCTGACCCCCGACCCTGAGTCCCGTGTGTGGGCGCTCGGTGTGGCCGCGGAGTTACGCGTCGGCGTGCTGTATCCCTTTTATTTACGCACGAGACGGGGTTTCACCCCGCGGGCGCGCTCACCACAGCGCGCCCGCCCTTGAGCCCACGTAGCGCATCGTAAGCGTAGAGCGGTCAGCAGCAAAGTCGGGGGTACAAGGGAGAGAGGAATTGGGGGGCTGTAGCCCGCACCCGACAGAGCAGTCGGGGAGCAGTAGCTCGATCCTGACGGAGGAGTCGGGGGACAGCGGCCAACGACAAGACACACAGATAGAGACAGAGTGAGAGGACAGAGACAGAGAGACACACAGAGGGAGAGAGACACAGAGAGACACACACATAGAGTGAGACACAGAGAGAGAGACAGTGAGAGGACAGAGAGACACACAGAGGGAGAGAGACACAGAGAGACACACACATAGAGTGAGACACAGAGTGAGAGGACAGGACAGGGAGACACACGGAGGGAGAGAGACACAGAGAGACACACACATAGAGTGAGACACAGAGAGAGACACAGAGTGAGAGAAGAGAGACAGAGAGACACA